TCCTGTCCCTTTGGTTCTGGGTCCCAGGGCGATGCCGGACCCCTTCCTCTTTCTGATCCCCCAGGGGACTGCTAAAAATTGGTGGTACTTTATTATGCAAAATAATTTTGCCCCCAGAAGTCTCACTCCTAGCTCATAGAGAAAAGGAGGCCACTTCTGAGGCGTAAAGCACAGGGTCTCCCCTTGCGAACAAAGAACTGCAGCTTTGAGATTAGTTTGCCCTGCTGGTATCTCACACCAGATTCTTCTTGGAGAGTCCCTGCCTCCATCACCGTCAGTCTGTGTGAACTGCAGAGGGCAGTGGGGTGTCTGCTGGGCCTGAGACAGCAACCCCCAGGGGTCAGATGATTTTTTTCTCCCCCTCACAGAAACAGAGATGATTTATCCCTAGTGGGTCTACCCACCATGGCTTAAGCTATTAGGGAAAAGGAGCTTCTCAAGGGAAGAGAGACTGAATCTTGGGAAATGCCCATATTTAGGGAATGAGGAGAGGAAAAGGCACCAGGGACAGGAACAGAAAGAGCTATCAGAGACGAAGGCCAAGAAATGAGAGGGGAGGGGCCGGGCTCTGAGGACTCCCGGCCCGGCTCCGGTTATCTGTTCTCGGAGGATTACCTCAGCTCAGTCCCCATCTGGGGAATTGCACTGATAAAGAGAACTGCCTTGCAAGATAGTTTAGAGAATTATGTAAACTGTTTGGCCCAGGCCCAGCACTTAATGGGCGCTGCATAAATGTTTGTTATTGTCGGGTAGTCAGCGGTGCCGGGCCTGGATGCTGACTGGGCAAGGGCCTCAGCGTCTGAAGGACTTTGAAAGGGATGCCGGTGACCCCGGGGCAGCAGGAGAGGAGGCATTTCCTCTCGAGGCTTCAGTTTTCCAACCAAGCAAAGGAAAGGAAGAAGAGCTGAATCTAGGGAGCCCTCCCTCCTTCCCCCCCACCCCACCCCCGCTTTGTGGGGGTGTCACCTTCTGGCTCTGGCACCAGTCTCGTCTTCCTTTCCCACCCTGCCCCCAACATGACTCTCCTCTCATCCAAGCTGAACAAACCCTCCCTGGGTTGCTGGAGAGGGTTGGGGTGGCTGGGGACCCTTCGAACAGCCCTAGCCCCCCTGCACCTGAGATCCCTGCCTCCCTGCTTCTTCCTGGGGCAGGGCCTGAGGCACGTTTAGTGGAGATGCTGGTAGTGGGTGTTCCTTACACCCCCCCCCACTCCCTCCAGCTCTTTTCTTCCACACACCATCCCTATTCTGAACATCCCAAACACAAAATTGAACTTGGGTCTTGTGGGGCCAAAGGGCCTGGCATCTCAGCAGGACAAACAGGCTGCTCTGGCCCCTTCCAAGCTCCAAGAGTGGCCCCTCCCACACTGCACACAGCTGGGAGATACGGTCTGGGGACAGGGAGAGGTCCCAGGCCTTGGCCTGGTGTTGGTTTCCTGCCCCCAGGCACCGTCACCCCTTGCTCTGGCCAACAAACCAAATCTTATGAGACTGCTAAGAATCCTTGCAATGTTTTCTCACTCATGAGACTGACTACTGGCGAGCACCCTGGGCAAGGAGAATGGGAAAGAGAAGCCCAGGTCACACTGATGTCATTTTCCTCTCCCTGTTCGCCATTTCTCCAACATGTCTCTTTTACTGGCCCAGCTACCCACTGTGTTTCTGGAGGAGCTTGAGAAAGGTCCAGGTGCCCAAGAGTTGCTGGTTCAGATACATGAAGCAGGAAGACACTCAAAATGCTTAGCATGGGCATCGGCCAGACAGAGTGGGGTGTTGGAAAGGGGGGTTTTCGAGGTCTCCTGCTGTGCCTGATGTTATCCCTCCAGCTGCCGGGTCTAGGGGGCAGGGTAGTCCCAAGGAAGAGAGGTGGGAGGCTCAGACAGCAGCCCTTTGCTGACCAGCATGGAAGTACTTTAGTATTTTCATGACAGGTCCATCTAGTGAGCACTGACCTCAGTGCTGCCTGCAGCAGCCACCACTCCCTGCTTTGCCAAGCCTCTGCCTTCAGCCTCTCCGCGGTCCTGCTGCCTTCCCCCTTGCTCCCCCAGCGAGCGCTGCCCTTTCATAACTACCTACGCACCCTTTCAGGCTGCCCTGAAAACAGTGCAGCTACTGCTCTGGGACTCCCAGGGAAAGGCCCAGTCCCAGGCCTGTTTCTCTCTACCTGTGTGACCTTGAGCAAGTGCCTTCAGCTTTCCAAGTCTTGTTTGCTCATCTGTAAAATGGGCTGCTATCCATGCCTTCACCCTGCAGAGTGACAGTGTGTCTCAAAGGACTGTGTGCACATGGAGGTGCTCTGAAAACCACTTCTCGGATGTCACTATTTTATTCTGATGACATCTCCATGGAAATGTTGAGAAAGACAGAACATAAAATGTATCCTCTCCCCACACCTTTTGAGACACAGTCTTGCTTTCATCTCTGAAGGACAGCAGAGTGTTCAGCACAGGACAAAGCCTGCCCCAACCCACTTTTGTCGCAGGAAGAAGAGTAACCCGAGGACCCAGGACTTATACCACCATCACCACCAATCATGGAGGACTTCCTGAAGGAGGGGGCAGGCCAGCTAGATAGAGGGCTTGCCAATGGGGGGCACGAGAAGCAGGAAGAACTGTGCATGGAGGAAAGGGGGGCCTTCTGCTCAGCCCACCCACCCCCAGGACCAGCTCAAGACTTCAAATCCTGGTTCTATCCCACTTTCTTATGTCATGATCTTGGCAGTTACTCACCTCAGTCTCCATTTCTCAGTAGCAAAGTCAGAGAAAGGATAAGTATTGGGTTAAATGAGATAGTGTATGTGAAGCACTTGGCCCAGTACCTGGCATTCAGCAAGTGCACAATAACTGAGGATCTTACCTTCCCACCCCAGGCCACCCTGCAAAAGCTGAAGGCGGAAGAATATGTCCAACAGAAGAGGGAGCTCCTGGCCCTCTACAGGGACAGGGACCAGGAGTCTCTGGGCACGAGGCCCTCCACACCTTCCCCAGAGGGCTCTCAGAGCAGTGTGGAGGGGAGGTAAGACCCACCATAAGCTCTCCCATAGTAAGTGGGCTGTAGGCAGGGAGGGAGGGAAGAGGAACCCACAAGGCTGAAAAACGGTATGGTAGTGCTTGGGGGATTAGGAATAGCCTGAGGAACCCACGCCTCAGGTGGACAGCAGAGTGGCACCAGCCATGCTAAAAGCCTCCTGACACAGTCAAAGTCAGCCCTCCCAGAGTCGGTGCCGGCCGAAAGAAAGGCCCGAACTCCCTGAGAGGGGCAGGCTCCCCAGGCTAGGAATGGAGAATGAAGTCCAGTCTGGATTTGCAGAATCTTGGAGCTGCAGGGACCAGCTAAGTCCACATCCCCAGAGGGTGAGCGGTTCATCCTGAACAGGGGGAGCTGTCCAATAGCATGCTTAAGTAGGGGGAAAAAAGATCCATCAGTGGGAGGAACCTCAGATGTCAGGAACCCCCACAGAAAATACCTGGGTGTTTACATCACACACGGGCCTGGACCAGGTGGCTAAAATGTCTTAGAGGAGCTTACAGTCCAACCAGAGAAATGATAAAAACAGCACAGTGCAAAGGTGAAATCAACTTAAGTTTGGAGGGGCTATTTCTGAATGGGGTGATCAAGGGATACTTCCTGGGCTTGAACTTGACCCCTTAGCACCTGACTCTGACCCTTCATTAATTTGTAGGACTCTTGACTTCTCTGCTGTCATCCCCCATCTGGTGGTGACAGAAGACTCGGATGACGACAGTCGCTCGGTACCAGATGACGCCTCAGACTCTGGCTACAGCACTCTGATTCCCGTCTCTTCCAAGGGGTCTCACTCCCCGCTGAGCCGCCTACGCCCGTGGGCCCTTCGGCGGCACCCTTTCCACACCTTCTCTGCCCTGGACCTCCGGGATGTTACTTTGCGCCCCCAGCCTTCCGACCCCCAAGCTCCCCAACGCCGAAGCACGCCCGTCCTGCCAGGGGAAGCTGTCCGAAGAGGAAGCAGTCTTCCCCGGGGAGAACCGCCAGCCTGGTCTGAGGAAGAAGACGGGCCCTCGGCGGGAGAGAACGTGGTCGTGGAGACCTTGCAGAGGGCTCGACTTCGGGGGCAGCTCCCACGCTCCCCCACCCACACTGACTCTGCTGGGGAAAGCCCCTGGGCATCCTCAGAGGACGAGGAAGAGGGGCCCCTCTTCCTAGGACACAGCCGTACGCCCTCCCCTCGCCCCCTCAGGGCTGAGGACATGCTCAGGGAGATCCGGGAGGAGCTGGCCAGCCAAAGGATTGAGGGCGCCTCAGAACCTATTAGGGACAGCAGGCCTCGGAAGCTGACTCGGGTCCAACTGCAGAGGATGCGCGGGCCCCACATCATACAGCTGGACACCCCGCTGTCCACATCGTAAGTGCTGAAAGGAAGGTGGCGCGGAAGGAGCGGAGGGGAAGGCCAGTGTGGAGTAGGAGGGGGTGTCAGGCTGGTGGGGAGGGGTCGGTACCGAAGGAGGGCAGTGCCAGAGCAGGGGCCATGGCAGGGAAGGGCCCTCAGCCTCACTCTTCACCCCAAGTCTGCCTTCTCCTAACACCCACCTCCCTTCTTTTCAGGGAGGTGTGAGGAACACTCAGGACTTTGGCCGTTGCTCCCTGAGGAAATCCCCCAAGAGTGCTGGTCACCACCCCCACCCTGGGACTCCACCTCAAGGTCCACTCTCCCCATGAAGCCTGGTTCGGGGTTCCCTGTGCTTCCTGCTCTAACAACTCTGGGGATCAAAGCTGTGCATTTGTGTCCCAAAGACACCCAAGCCCCACATAAACTTGTGCATAAACATGACTGCCCAGTCAGCGCCAGGTGAGGGTGGGAAGAACCTGGGGTGTGAGTGGCAGAGTGAGCGCAGGCTGCTCCTCTGGCAGGGGGGGAGGGGCGGGAATCCGGCCCAAGCTCAGGACTTTTCACCATCCCCCCACATGCTGATGGACCCAGGTCTCTGCCCCAGGCTCCCACCCACCACACAGTGAGACCACTCCTTCCAGGAGCACAGCTTTAATCCTCCAGTTTTAGTGTATTTACAAAAGTCCACAGCTCCAGCTGGAGGCCCCAGTGTTTTGTGCTTGTCCCTGTTTGGGACCGTTCGGCTTACTGTGCTTGCCCAGGCAGGGAAGAAAGGAGAGCCAAGTTTCTATTAGTATAACGTAAGTGATACGAAGATTGCTTATCTATTGTTAAAAAGGCTCAGGGGCCCCTAAAGCTCCTTGCTGGGTCCTCCAGGCCTAAAACAGGCAATGAACCATGGCACCTCTTATCCCTACAACCGCCAGCTTGGGCTCCTGGCACACACAGCCTCTTTCACTATCACACACACCACATCTGTACATATCTACATCCCTTCTCCTCCCATCTCTCTCTCTCTCTCTCTCTCGTCTCTCTCGCACACGCACACGCACACGCACACGCACAGCTGACCCTCCGGCAGTGTTCAGACAGCTGAGAAAACTATGCACACTGAGGGAGTAGCACCAAGTAAGTGGCTGCCAGCTCATGCCAGCCCCTCCAAGACCCTCCTTTCCAGAATAAAAAGAGGTCCAGGGGACATCTTGCAAGGTCCTTCAGGGACCGTGGGGCAGGAAACAGCGGTTGTCAAGGCAGGCCCCTCCCAGGGGGCGTGGCCTCATGAGAGAAAGTGGGGCTCCGGTGAGAGGGAGGCGGTGAGAGGGAGGCGCGGCCACGCAGAGCGTCCTCTATTTCCTCCAGGCAACTGATCAGCTCCATGTCACGGAGCACTTGGCCCAGCAGGGCCAGCGAGTCCTCCCGCCTGGGCATGCGCTGGCGCCAGGCCATCAGCATGCTGTAGTGCGCCTCCCGCAGGCAGCGTCCATTCTGCAGCTCCAGCCGCTCGATCTCGTGCTCACTCAGCCCCAGCCGCCGCACGAACTCCTTCCAGCGCAATGGGGGCACGGAGTTCAGCACAGCATACAGCATCGCTGGGTCTGCTGCAGGGAAACCCGTGGTGAGCCTGGAGTTGCAGCTCCCAGGCCCGCCCTGGCCGCCCTGAGCGGGTTCCCTGCTCACTCATGTGCCCTCTTGGAGCCCCGCCCACCTGCACCCCCAACCGGGAATCTTGGCTGGGTGCTCACCATCTGGGCGCGGGGTATAGATGGGGATGGAATTGGCTGGAAGTGCTGTGAGAAGGTGGCCAGTTTCCTGGTGGCCTGGGCCCGTCTCTTCCGGCGGTGATGGAACTCTAGGTATGTCCGGAAGGGAGGTGAGACATTGTGGTGAGATGGAGAAGGGACTGAAGTTTGGAAGGGGGTTGAAATTTGAGCCCGAGGCCTGGTGTTCTGGATCCCCCTGAAAGAGAGAAGGCAAAGCATTAGTGGAGGAGAGGAAAAACAGCCCAGCCCTCTAGATTATTCCGGGTGGGGATGGAACTAGAGAGAGTCAGGGGATCGCGATTCGGTTCTTACACGATCACCATGGACAGTCAGGGAAGATTGGGGGCAGATCCCTGGTTTCACCTTACCCGTTTTTCAGATGGGATTTTCCTGCAAACTGAGAAGAAAGAAAGAAAATGTCATTAACTTCACTTCCTCTCTCAACCCTGGAGCCCATACTGGGGCTGGTCCTGGGGACCTATGGTGACAGGCTTCAGCGCCTCTGTGCTCCCAGGGTCGAGAGAACCGCTGGTGCAGTATGACCCCTTACCAGCCATCCAGGGCCATCTCCTGCCAAGGGAGCCCTTCACAGTGAACTAAGGGGATGCTCGTTTTCCTCCTCCCACGTCCCACAGCACCCTTTGGCCTCCCAAAGGCCCCACTCACGAATGGAGTGGAGCTTGGTCTTCCAGCGTGGGGATCGGCATATTAAAGCCATGAAGAAGACGAATAAAAGGCAAACACCAAAGACGATCACCAGGGACAACAGCACTGTGGTGGCTGGAGACAAAGCACATTGTGATCAGGGGAGAGGGGCTGCGGGAGGGAGCGGAAGGGAGCGGGGCTGGGCGGCTGTGTGCAGGGGCAAGCTTAGGAGAGGGCAGGTGAGCGCGGGCACCGGGTTAGTCCTCTTCACCTGGGTCCGGAGGCGCCTGAATGAGTCCACCAGTCATGGGGCACAAGTTCGTGCACTCCGTGTCTTCCTTGCAGCTGAAAGAAGAGAGAGCACAGGTGAACAGAGGCTGTATCATAGGAGGAATACGGGTTTAAGAAAAAAAAAACAGTGTTAGAAATTCTCTGCTTTACAATATTTTAGCTATCTCACTATATCGTGGAAATTAAAACTATCTTGGAAATTGATGCAAAGGAATGAAACAACTTGATCACAAAATCACTTGATTTAGAATTGGAATCGATCTGGAAGAGGCGGTATAGAAAAATTAAAAGCAGGCAGGCTCAGGGTTTAATTTCCAGCCCAGTCCCTGGCTAGCAGTGTGACTCTAAGCAAGTCATGGAGCCTGTACGCTTCAGCTTCCTTCTCAGGGACACAGGGACCCTACCTGCCTGTCAGGACCAAGGACTGAGTGAGAGAATTCTGCTCGACACACAGTAAGTGCTTGGCAAATGGTAGCTCCCCCTGAATTGTTGTTATTTTATCGTGGTTCTGCTAAAGAGAATTCTGGGACAAAGGGAGGTACAAGAGCTTTTTTTCGAGATGGCACTGCCACGGACCATACCTGACTTTGAGAGAAGGGTCAAACATGCATGTGAAAAAGTTTAAAATGCCCAAAGGGTTGCCAGTTCGATTGCCAGTCAGGGCACATGGCTGGGTTGCGAGCTCGGTCCCCAGTGGGGGCCACGGGAGAGGCCACCACATGTTGGTATTTCTCTCTCTCTTTCCCCCTCCCTTCCCCTCTCTAAAAATAATAAATAAATAAACATCTAAAAAAAAGTTTAAAATGCATATTGCTGGGGGCAATATTACAAGCACGTCTCCCCATGTCGGAAGCTGTGGCTGGGCAGTGCGGAGTGAAGAGGAGTGAGGAGACCTACATGGGGGGCCCCGAAGGGCCTTGAGAAGGTGGGTTCTCAGCCACAGTCGGAAACCAAGAAGAGGCACTTCTGCCCACCTTACAAGCTCATGATGAGAACAACACAGGATGGGTAGAAAAGCTCTTTCAAGGAGAAGAGACAAAGCTTAGTGGGAAAAGATAATAGTTTCTTGACAGACACTTCGTAGCTATTTTTGGTGGCCCTTTTTTTTTTTTAAAGATTGTATTTATTTTTAGAGAGAGGGGAAGGGAGGGAGAAAGAGAAGGAGAGAAACATTAGTGTGTGCTTACCTCTCACATGCCCCCCACTGGGGACCTGGCCGGCAACCCAGGCCTGTGCCCTGACTGGGAATCAAACCAGTGACCCCTTGATTCACAGGTTGGTGCTCAATCCACTGAACCACATCAGCCAGGGCTATTTTTGGTGGTTCTTACAACTTCGCCAAGTGGATGTCATTACCCTTTCTTTAAACGTAAGAAAACTAAGGTTCGGAGATGTTAAGTCACATGCCCAAAGTTGCACAGCCAATAAGTGGCTAGGCTGAGATTTAAACCCAGGTCAGTTCAACTTCAGAGCCCTCAGAGTTTCCACTTTGCAGCGAGTATGCAAGAATAGCCTCTGGGAAGCCAGGAGTAAGGAGGCCTAGTCAAAGGCACTGGGGAGGAAATATCACACTGTGTCAAACCTAAGATGCAATCAATAAGAGACACCATTATTTGCATAACACACACAGAGCTGCCAATTAAACCATGATACATCATCAACTGTTGTAAGACACAGTCTGATTGCAGAGATATGACTCAATGGTAGACCCTGTTGCCTAAGAATTTCAATGTCAAAAAAAAGAATGTCCAAGTTAGAACTGCAAGTCCCTGGTGTGTGAGCCTCTGTCCCCAAAGTTGGGGGAAAGGAGGACTATCTGGCGTCTTGACATAAAGTGTCTCTCACTCAAACAGCTAGTAAGAGCCAGAGCACCCTGGGGTGTCTCCCTTGTCCTGCTGGTGGCTCTTGCCACAGCCACTCCATCCCACCCAGTGTCCCCTCACCCAGTGCCCAGCAGCTGGCAGAGATACTCACTAAGCACAGGATATGCACTTGTTGTCTTTTACAAAGAACCCTGCGTTGCAGGAGCATATGGTATCCTGGTTTTCACTACCTGTGGGGAGAGGGGCAGTACAGATAAAGGAGGACTGCCCTGCGCCTGGAGGACCAGAGGGAGAGCCAGGAGGGGCTGGGGTAGATGGCCAGAGTAGAGATATTCCCACAGACCACGGGAGTAGGAAGGATAGAAAGTGCTGCCTTTTGGAGCAAGGGTTCAGAAAGGTGGAGACCCTCCCCGAGACAGGGCCCACCCTTGCGGTGAGGACAGGGGTGGGGTCAGCGGGGTGCGCTCACAGGAGACTCGCACCGTGCCATTGAGGCAGGGGCTGCAGTTTATGCACTGGAAATGAGTGTCACTCCAGTATTTCCGGTACTGTTCCTTCCTGCAGCCACACACAGTGTCCCGGTCCACTGCGCAAGAAGAAATCTCCACCTGGTCCATTTCTGGTGAGGGAAAGAGACGGGGTGTGAACCTCTCTCTGTAGCACACACTCACACCCATGTACTCTGTCAGGAATCCCTTTCCACAGCCAGGAGCACAGAGTTGCACGCCCTCACAGGTGGACAGGCACGCACACCCCTCTCGATGCCCAACAGGCCCATCCTATGTACAGCCCTTGCCCTCTCCTGAAACTCACCTTTTCGGCATATTGTACAGCTGAGGCATTGCCTGAGGTGGTTCTCCAAAGCAGTATAGGTGCCGTTTTCACACTCCCTGCAGTCCGTGTCCAGCCCTGGGCCTGGACAGTCATTGTACCGGTAGGTCCCTGTGATTGAGATGTCTATTAGGCTGCAGCAGAGAGCTCAAGAAAGAAGCCCCATGCTAGTGGGGAACAGCCTGGGCCACCTCTCCAAGGTCTTTAGGAGAAGAAAGGAGGAAGAAAATCCCAGCCCAAGAGAAGCTGCTAGAACAGAGACCCCAGGTTCTAGAACATCTGGAAAAAGCAAAGAAAGCAGCAGGGCCCCATAACTGAGGAGATTCACCGTTACCACTTGCTCCTACCTTTATGGCACTTCGTACAGCAAATGGAATTATTTTGAGAGTGGGGGTATTTTCCCTGAGGACACTGGCTTTCTCTCTTCTCCCGGTCCCTGGAGTGAGGGACCAGTGCACTAACCCATGAGGAGTTTATTTCTGCCACCAGAATCAGGAGCACCTAGGGAAGAACCGATAGAGGAGATCCCATCAGGATCTAAGCACAGACAGTTGGCACCATGCAATCTAGTGTTGAATTGTTCTCTAGTCATCCTGTGTGCTAATGTCCTGTGTCCCCCCCAACTCAAGGCTGGGAGACCCCAGCCCAGCTCTATTTTATCCTTATTTCCCCATAGCAGCTAATGGTGTTGGACTGGGGGCAGATGTTGAAGAACTGTTTGTTTTTTTATTGGGAACTGGTAGCTTACTTCAATTCTGGCCCTTGCTTCACATGAAGCAGTGTCAAATACTGAGGTGGTGTTTCTCTGAGTGCTGCGTTCCCACCAAGTGAACGTGCACGGAGGTGAACGGTTGGCAACTGTGCACTTTTCTGTATTAGGCTATACCAGTAAGAAGGTGCTTTTCAAAATCAAACAGGAGTGGAGGAGGTCAGTGATGCCCCTATGGGCACCGTTCGTGGGCGGTGTGCAGAAGTAAAAGGAAGAATTTCTTTATAAGTCTGCATCAAAACCTCACTCAGGATCCCACCCTCAGACTCCATGCTGCATCCCCTTCCACCACTAAATCTGCACAAATACTCCAGGTTGGCCAGGGCAAATGGAGAGGGGAGTGAAAGGGAAAGTTCATGGTCAAGGATAGGTAGGTGGGTGATGATGTTTCGGTGGGGGCAAGAGTGGGCAAAGGCATGTAGGTTACATGCAACCAGAGCTGGCCGGAGGCTGGTGATCCAGCTCGAGTGACCGTCAAGTCAGCCAAGAGCTAAGGGTGTGCCAGGGAATCTAGAAGCTCTTTGCTCCCAAGTCCTTCTGGAAGGCATGCTTTACAGCCTCAGGCCAAGCCCACAGCAGCTGAATCACCTGCCTATTTCTGGCTTAGGTGCCTGGACAGCAAAGCCAGGAGCCAGTGTTGAGCTCCAACCCAGACTTTGCTTTGCTTTTTTCAGCCTCTTGCTGGCTTTCCCTGGGCCTCATTTTTTTTTTCTTCTCTGCTGTAAGAGTGGCTTTATGCAAAGATAATAGGATGTCCTCAAAGTATATTAAACAATGCAGAGTAACACACTAATCAGATCATAGAAACCTCAGCCCAGGACAGGAGGGCCTAACAGCCCTCAGCTTTGGTGGCTCTGTATCTCAACGGGCGGGTAAGCAGCTCACACCCTGAGTCACCCATTGGGAGATGCTGCAGCAACCCAGCAGCCCGGGCCTCAGGCGCAGAGGAAGCCAACTCAAAATCACAGCAGCCACCAAAGGGGCACACCCCGCTACTCAGAGGGCAGCAAGCAGCCTTCCCTGGCCCGCTCCAGCACTGTGCCACCTCCCCTGAGAACAGGACTGGGGCTTCCAGGGCAACAGGAAGAGTGTGGGGTGGTTAATGGGAAGAACTTCCCGATCCTGAAAGAAGAGCTTTCCCCGAAGCAGAGCTCACAGAATCTAAGGTCATGGGCATTTGGCATTCCATCCAGGGAGGCTGAGAGCAAAGCCAAGGAGCAGAGATAGAGTCAGGAAGAACTGAGGGGCTCCAGTTCCTGGACAGCTGTGGTGGGGGTGGGGGGTAGCTTTTTAGGGACCTCTGGCCTGTGAGGAATAAACTTCCCAGGAAGGCAGGAGAGAGGGAAGCTTTCTCAGGCCACGTGTCCCCACCTCTACAGCACTTTGGGGGTTAAATGAGATCCGGGAAAGGGAAATCTTTTCCCAGAAGCTCCGCCCAGTGACTCAGGCCAGAGGGAGGGAGAGGATCTGGGGGAGGGGAGAGGGAACCAGCAGCTCCTCCAGCTCCTCAGGGGTCATGAGTCAGCATAAAGACTGAGAGACCAGCCAGCAGTCGGTCCCATCTGATCCCTTCCTCCTGTGGGCCAGTCTCCCTCTCCAATCCCCCCTCAGAGCCTCTGTTCCTCCCCTCCTTCACAAAAGAGCTAGGCAATGGACCCTTGTCCCACTGGGCTCCTACATTTCAGGAAATGGCTCCCTCTCCCATTCCATCCCAAAGGGAAGTCTCTCTCGACCCTTGGCTTCCTCCCAGTGAGTCAATACTCACCCCTCCCTGAGGGCCACTTAATTCCTTCCCGCTCCTCAGCATCCTTCCTTTAGTCTAGGCCCCATCCTGGCTCCTCCTCCCGGTCCAACCAGTCCCCTCCACAGATCCGGCATCCCTGGCTTCTCCCCCAGACCCCTGACACTCCTCGGGTCCAGAAGGAGGCCAACCAAGGCTGCCCTCCTCCACCCGGGTTCACCGCATTCCCACAGCCTGGCTGGTTCTGGCCAGTGAGGTTGAGTTTGGGGACCTCTCTGGGATCCCAGACAATCCTTAGGAAATAAGGCCAGTTCTTTCTCCTCAGCCCCTCCCCAAACCCGCTGGCAGCACAGGTAAAGCTCCAGAGCTCTGGACACCCACTTCTAGGCCTGAGGGAGCAAACAAAAAGAGAGGCCAGACAATCGGCACTACTGCCCAGGTCTTTCCTGCTCTCCCCGCCCCCACAGCGGCATCCTTTGTTAGTGCTGGTTGGCTCCCGTGAGCACCATCCTTAGAGGCTGCATCTTTGCAGCAAAACAGCAGGAACAGGTGAGCTCGGAGCAGCCAGACCCCAGCCTGAGTGCCTGTCACCTGGAGCAGGAGAAGAGCAGGAAGCTGGGGGTGCCTGTGGAGAGACAGTTGAGTGGGTGGCCCGGCGGCACCCCTCCAACTCCCCCACAACTTCCGCCTGAGGAGGCTTTAAAGTGTGACTTCCTGCACCGGGGCTGCAGCGTGGGGTGGAAAGCGACCCTGTGGTCTACTCTGACCCAGCCACCTCATCAGCAGCTGTTCCCTTAACCCCGTAAGAAGTTGTCCACTAAAGTAAAAAATTCATTTAATGTCAAAAATCTCTGGAGAGCTCGTGATCGAGTCTCCAAAGGTCCAGTTGCAATCCCACCTCCCTGCCCTGAGGCCCTCCATTGATGACGCTTCCCCTACCCAAGCTCATTAGATGTGCAGCCCCCTGGGAACTTTAATAACATGCATTAACTATATGTATTCTTGGCTCCTATCATAATTATCTTGGGTGAGTAGATAGGATCTCCCCAGTAGACCATAAACTCTCTACGAGACCAGAAAGAGTATCTTGGTCAGAGATAGTGTCCTATCTCCCTCCGTATCGTCTCAGCACCCAGAACTGGGGGAGCAAAAGAAACATGGTTGATCCAATGGCTGATCTGTCTTCCACTCCAGGCGAAGCCGGTGATTTCCAAAGAGGGAAGAAGGGAGTCAGAGTCACCCCCCAGCCCCTTAGGAACGTACAGGGTCCGGCAGAAGTAAGGCCTGCTTGAGTGTGGTTGAAAGGATAATAATATGGGTGTAATTTATAGTTTTGATTTGAATGTTTCACCCAAAACGGCATATGGTGTGCTTGAGTGTGACATTGTTATGATACCCAATTACACACTCATGATTTTGTAATAAAAAGGGGCATTATTTGTGCCGGCCCCGTATTTATCTCCAGGGGAGATTGCCCCACTCCGTCCCCCACACACGCACACCCTCACTGGAGATTGTGGTAAGTGTTCCTTTCCTCTCCCTTTGAGAGTCACGGGTGAGTAAAAGCAGCACCTACGAATGATGATACAAAGACCGATAAGAGTTCGAGAACCTCCGCTCTGCCCTGTTAAGACATGTACTTCACCTGGCTGTTCCTTGGACCCTTAACAAGCCCCAAGTTAAACTCATCAGGTATCTCCTGGCCCACAGAATCGTCACACCACCAGGTTCTCGGCACCAATGCCGAGACTTCCACCACTTTTTTCTGCTCAGGGCCCTCCCCACCCCTGCCGTCATTCCTCTTGCCAGTCCCTCCTCTGTGACCGATCTCCCAGTCTTTTCCGCGTCCAGGGTTGTCTCACACCTGGATCCTTACAACTGTCTCCCAGCCAACTGCCGGGCCCCTTTCCTGCTCCAACCCATCCTACAGACTTTCTTGTCCACATTCATGCTTCAACTTGTACCTGCATATGTGAAAATCTTACTCTCCAGGACATTGTTTCCACAGGTCGCTGTTATCCTGAATGAGACCTTGCAGAGGTACCTCACTGCTGTTCTGAGCACATTCCTGGACACAGTGGGCCCTCAGGGAACCCTTTCAGAATGAATGAATGAATGAGCTCCTCTACCTGGAACCACGGCTCAAGATTCTCTCTTCATCCCTTCCTATACTCCTTCCAACTATCTCATCCCCATTTCTTGTTCCTCAGTATGGTCTTTCCACTCCAGCCAAAGTGTTCAGTTTCCTGCCACCACCACCTGCAACACAAAACCCCCTCTCTCCCTTTCTCTAATTCTCCTCAACCGGTCTCCCTTTTTTCTAGCCACCCTGCCAGTCAGTGACTTCAAATCCACTTTTCAGCAAGGCTTTCCCTCCCTCATCCCATCAGACCAATCTTTAGTTCCTTTATTCATTCAAGAAATAGCTAAGGAGCAACCAATCTATGAGCCAGGTCCCACCAGACGGCCAGGGAGGCAAGATGGAATGTACTGCTCATGCTCTCCAGAGTTCTCCATGGGTCGCAGTCCACGGTAGGCTCTGCGATTTGTGCAGGGTGTGCTCCGGGAGCACGGACACTAGAATTGACATCTACTAAGCAAGAAAAGGCAGCTGAGTGAACCTCCTTCCCCTCCCGGCTCTGGCTCCCTTTGGTGTTCAGAGCACCATATCGCAATACTTTTGTGAAGATTTTCCTCCAGGCTGTTCTGAAATCATTTTTGCTGAAAGCTGTCTTAGCTTCTAAACTAGAAGCTCTTTGAGAGTAGCCAAGTCTTGTTTGTTTTGTCACGCTCTCCTGTATTCTTCCCTACTACCCCCACACACACATACACAGTGTACTCTGAATTGCCCATCGAATGGTGAGCAATTGGTAAGTTCATGGACAGACTTATCTAGACCTTGCATACCTCCTGCTTTCCTTCTAGCACCAGGCTGAGCTTGTGTCTCTCAACAGTCATACCTTCACCTGGGCTGGGTCAGCCCCTGCCTTCAAGGCAATTGTCTGTTTGGGCCTCTGTATCCTGTTTTCCAAACAGAGTAGCCACCAAGTAATTACTACTAACACTAACAATATGCAAGCTAACATTTATTGAGGGCTTTCTATTTGCTATACCCTATTCCTCTACCAGAATGTAGAGTCCATGAGGACAGTGATTTTGTATACTACTGTAATCCCAGCACCTAAAACAGGGTCTAGCATAATGCAAGCACTTAACAAATTGAATCAATCTATTTAACCTTCAAAACAACATTATGAGGTAGTGACTGTTATGTTCATTTTAGAGATTAAAAAAATCTATGGCATGGAAAGGTTATATAACCTGCTCAAGTTCAGGCATCCAGGATGTGAGGGAGCCAGAACTGAATCCAGGTATCTACTTTCAAAGAGAGAAGTAAGATAGCAGGGCAGGTGGATTGTAGGGGGCAGGGGGGGGGGGCAGGATATGGGGAGTCCTGGGAGGGTAGCCTTGAAAGAAGGGAAGAGATGGGGCTGGGGAGACAGGAGGTGGGACAACCAGAAGATTAGTGAGACCAGGACAGAGAGAGGTAGCACAGGGAAGTAAGGTCTAGAAATGCGGAGAAAAGAGGGAGAGGGAGGAAACTAGGGAGAAAGGGTTTCAAAACCCTTTGAGAAGTCTGAGGAGACTTTCAGCGAGACTGACAGAAAAGCAAGGAATGTCTGGGAGAGAAAATATAACACCCTGAGGAAGGAGAGGTGTGGAGCCACGGGTGGGCCACGGACTCAGAAGAAATTGGCGAGCCGGGAGAGCGGGCGGTGGGGGGGGTTGGGGGGTGCGGCACTCAGGGTATCAGACAGGATGACTCCAGGACCTGGAGGGTCATCGCGGATGCCTCGACATAAGGCTGAAGCAAAATAAAGGGACATTTTCCAGTGACGAAAGCAATTTTCTTCCAACTTCCTCAAACTCACTGTAGAAGAAGAAACCAAGGAATTGTTGTCTAGGGCTGTGGGGAGGGGCTGGCGGGCAGGCCGAGGGGCAGAGTCCAGGTGGAGGAGGTGGTGGCTACCTAGAGAGGGTCAACCCAACAGAGACAACCTGCCTAGAAACTGAGGCAGAGGTTGAAGAATGCCCCATTAACACTAGACTTACTGTACAAACATAAATGTGGCATCTCGAAAAGAAAGAAAGCAAGCCCCCACGGGGGAGGCCCGGGCCCGGAGAGAGCACTGCAGATGCCCTCCACGGGGCTGCCCTGCCCCTATCCCGTCCCCACTCCATTCCCAAATGGCTCCCACCACATGGCCTCCCAAACTCACTCCGCCAACCTATCTCCCCTCCCAGTTCCATTTCTCCACTTTGTCACCGTCCTACTCCTGCCCCCTAGCAGGGTTTGCTCAGCCAGGGCCCACGGGCAGCCCCACCTCTCCACAACTCAACACATGCTGAGGCCAGCCAGCTGACCAGAGGGACAATGTTCTGAATCATCTGGAATCTGAGAGGACCGACTTCCTTCTCCCACTCCTTTCCTTTCCCTACCAAATCGGCGCTCAGTCCACCCCCACTGCCCCGCAGCCGCTGCTATCAGCTGCCCGCATGTTTTCAGGCGGCCCCTAGCCCCAACAAACTTCCTTGGCTGTCAGGGGCCAGAGCTGCTTTTAACCCCCCACCTTTCAGACTTCTCCCTTGCCCCTGAGTCAGGGCAAGCAGATAAACAGGGAAAGCTGGGCTTCTGGCAGAGTTTGTGGTCAGACCACAGCCCTCTCCCAGCGAGGGCCCAGTCCAGCCTGCCGGCGTCACCCTTCACCCACTTTCCACTCCACCCTTGTCCCTGGTCTCACCAGTGGCAGCAGCAGGCCAGGCACGGTGGGGTGGCCCATGTCCGGCCAGCTGAGGCCTCTCACTCCCCCATCAGGGCTCAGGCAGAGGCAGCAGGTGGAGTAGCAGCGACAGAGTCCGGGACGAGTGGGTCAGGAGGTCCCAAGAGGAGCCCAGGCCTTGGGTAGGGGACTTAAGGGTTGAGACTCAGATAAAGACCACACCCTGGTCCCATGGGGTCTCAGACCCCGAAGGCCAGAACCGGGGCCTGAGCCCGGCGAAGAAAATTAAAGAAGAGGTGGGAGGGGAAGGGAGTAAAGCAGTTGGGTGTTGCAACGACAAGACAGGAAGAGCTTGGGGGAGGAGGCGGGAGGAGGCGGGAAGAGGCGGGAGGAGAGGGCAATTTTTCTTTTAACTCTTTGTAGTGCAGTCAGCGGTGCTGGAGACCTGGATCCAACAACCCGGCCACTTCCAACCAAACACCGCTGTGCAGTGAGCCCCCTCCCTCCTCACCCCCATCAACAGGCTTTTCCCAACTAAACAGCAATAGAAGGACCCAGGGCCCTGGCTAGGTGTCTCAGTTGGTTAGAGCGTCATCCAACACCATGCGCCAAGGTTGTGGCTGCGGTTGGATCAGGGCACATGCGAGTATTGATCTCAACCAACGAATACATAAATAAGTGGAACAACAAATCGATGTCTCCCTCTCACGTCCTTTCTCTCTCTAAAATCAATAACTGAAAAAAGAGAAACCTAGGACTTTGGCACGAAATTCGCTGGGTTCCAGTTCAGAAGCCTCTACTTTTTAGCTGGGGGGTCCTGGGCAAACAACCCAAACTCTCGGAGCCTGCTTTCCGACTTGCAAAATGGTGGGAACTTATTTCATGTGGCTGCTGTTAATCGAAACAGGACAGATAAGTGGTACAAGACAAGTACTCAGTGTTCCTTAGTTAACACTTCCCCTTTCCCCCAGAGTCCTCCACTGACACCCTCATCTCCCACTTTCTCAGGAACTTACCCCTCCAACCCAAAGCTCAGAATAAATCCGAACCCTAGTCTTCTTTCTGCCCAGGCTTGGGGCCCTCACACACTCCCTCAGTGTGGTTCTTATCCGGTCCATGCCTGGCTGGGTCCCACAGCTGCTGATCCTGGCCCTGCCACCAACAACAGTGGGACCTCAGGCAGAGTCTCCACTAGATCTCAGCTCCTCATTATTAAACCAGAGGAACAATCCCACCAATATGGGAAAGGGAGGTCATGAGATCCTATCCATGAAGATGCTTTGGGAATTACAGACATCGAGTTGGATATTACTAGTGCATTCCCAGCACCCTTTCCTCCAATATTACTCTGTATTTCAACCCAAACTGACCTCAGAGATAACCTACTGCAAACCCTCTTGTTTTACAGCTGAGAAAACTGAGGGCCAGAGACACGCAGAGCATGTTCCCTGCAGACCCAGCAGAAACCTGACTCCTGACTTGAATCCAGGGGCCCATTTTGCTACAACAGACACACTGCCACCTTTCTACCTGTCCCCTTGATTCAGACCCCACTCCCTGACTCTGGGCACTCGATGCCACTCCCAAATGAATGACATGGCAAGGGTCAAGTGTTCATTCAAATGTCCTTCAAATGGGCATGATGACCTTCCCTATACCCAGCCCGGGCCTGAGGTCCTCCAGCTGCTGACTGCCCCCCACCCACACCCCAGAGTCCACCTGCCTGGCTCTTGCTCATCTCCCCTCTCCGGTCCTAAGGGCAAAGCATCTATAGATGAGAAAAGAGCTTGGCTGTTCCCACCTAGGGCTGACTACCCCACCCCATCCTCCAGCTTCTGAAGAACTAGACATTGAAGCTAGGCTCACAGAGGAGCTCACCTCCACCAGCACACAGGGAGCCTCCAAGCCCAGCCCAGTGGACCCAAAGCAGGGCTCTTGAAAAATCAGGGTCACTGGAATAAAGTGCAAGGGTCAGAATGCCCAGTTCCCAGTGTGAAGAGGCAAGGAGGGCTACTGGCTCCTCATCTACAAACTGGGAAACATGCCCGCACCCTCACATCATAAGCCCCGACGATTACACGCATGGAAAGGGTTTAGCAAGGGTTTGCCATATATTAAGCATTTGATATATGGTAGCAATATTAATAGTTTGTATTAATAATTAACAACATCAATGTCCTATTTTTAATGTTACAAGACATTTTTAATAGCCTGTACCAACTGTTTAAGACATTATACATAGCCTGATCCACAAAGAGAATCTCATCATTCATGTTAAATGCTTAATTAATCAGTAAGTTTAAAGTTTTGTGAAATGTGGTATTAAATTGTTTGATGAAACTGTTCTTTTTTTAAAAGATGGTGAGAGGTAGGCAGATCTAGGAATATGAAAAGCTAACTAGTTTTATGGAGAAATTTCTTCCAGGGGGAAAAGAAAGAATGGTGAGGGAGAGACTGGGACAGATGGGGAAATAGGAAAGGGGTGAACTACGGGGTGAAAGAGTTGGCCATCAGGGTCTGGGGAGCAAAAGGTGGAGAGAAAGGGGCTTCCGCTAGCAGAGTCCCCCTCGCCCTCAATACACCTCTCCCTCTCTCTCTCTCCCCCCCACCCACACACACATACACACACCCCCCACAGCAGTACAGAGTGATGAGCAAAAGGGCACTGGACTGCAAGCGAAGGTGACGTGGTTGCAACCCCAGCCCTGCCATCCTGACTCCATGAGTTGCAGAAGGAGACCCAGCTTCCAGCTGGGTTCTGTAAGAATCATGAACTTGAATAAATCACTTTACCTGCTAATGTCAATAAGGAAAAGAAGGCAACTTAACTGTTTCTTCTCTAACACTCTTGATTCTAACTCCTAACCTGAAGGTCCAGAGGTAGCATATAGAGAGACAGGGGATGGAGAGAAGGAAACCCCACAGGGTGGAAGTGCAGCAGGCCAAGAGAGCTCCCGGTGGGGGAGGTGGGGGGAGCTGGCTGCTGTCCTCTTTGACAGACCCAGCGCTGTCCAGCAGGTCCTACCCACCCCAGCCAGAGGACAGGGAGCTGGGGCAGGTGGGACAAGGCTGAGGCTACGGCAGAGAGCACACAGGGCAGACTGAACCTGAGGGCTCTGACGGGGGAGAGTGTTGTGACACCACCCTTTTCCCCTTATCAGCTCGAGTCTAGGAAAGGGAAGTGAGAAAGCACCCCATCAGCTCCCGGTCACAACCTTTTCTATATCTCTACTCTGTCCGCCATCTCCTCCTATTTCCCCGATTCCCTTGGCTCCTCAGGACGGGGAGACTGTAACTGAGGGAAGTTAGATCACGGCAGCAAGGGAAATGTCCCCAAAGATGACAAGAAAGGGTAACTTCTAGGTGCCAGGTCTGGAGTAGGGGAAGGAACCAGGGGTCCAGAAACTGGAATTCCACTCAGACATCCCTCAATTTCTCCTCTATGAAAAGCTGGCAGAAGCCCTGGCTGGTGTGGCTCAGTGGACTGAGTGCTGGCCTGTGAACCAAAAGGTTGCAGGTTCAATTCCCAGTCAGGCCACATATCTGAGTTGTGGGCCAGGTCCCCAGTTGGGGGCGTGTGACAGGCAACTGATCAATGTACCTCACACATCAATGTCTCTCTCCCTCTCCTTCTCCCTCCCTTCCTCTCTCTCTCTAAAAATAAATAAATAAATAAATAAATAAATTTTTAAAGAAAAGCTGGGAGGATTCCCACTGCTGCTCTCTCCATGGTGATGCCAGATACAAGGCTTTGAGGGCCCAGAAAAAGGTGGCCTGAGTTTCATCCCCCTCCACCACCACCAGGCAGCTGATGGGGAGGGTGGGCAGATGAGGATGTTCTGTAGCAGCTGGGTGGTGCTCAGTGAATGGAGTGGAGGATTACTGATGATCACTCAAGTTGGGAAGGAAAAGGAAGTTTGGACAATGCACAGGGGTAGGGGGCAGGTTATCCCTAGCACTGCCTAGTAGGTCTCCTGAGGGGAGCGCCCATGTCTGTGCCCTGCCACCCTAACATGGTCGCGGACGCACCGCAGGTGCACAGCACTACGTCCATGGAGGAACCAGCAGGACAGTTTGTCTCTTCCTAAGGTCCCTGAAGAATGGTCATTTCCACAGTGAAGCCAAGGGGTGTAGGAGTCTGCCTCTCCCACCGCCACCCCGGGCCCTCCTGGGAGCGTGAACAGAGACCCAGGTACTCACGCCCACCCCCTACCCTCTTCAGGACACCCCGTCCAGTTCTCCAGGCATTCTTCACACAACAAATATTTATTGAGTGCCTGCCTGCTTGCTCCAAGTGGGACACTGGGCTAGACCCTGAGGTTACATAAATGAACAACAGTCCCTGACCACAAGGAGCTCACAGTCTAGTTGGGGAGGCAGACACAAATGAACAGGAAAGTGGAGTGCAAGTCAGCACTCCCACAGACGTGGTGGTGTGCCACGGGAGTCCAGGCGAGTGGGGAGTGATCAGTTCTGGGGAAGACAAGGTGGGGCAGGGGCCTTCGTAGAAGTGGTGGAGTCTGAATAGGGTTCTAGGGGATGCATAGGAGTTCTCCAGTCAACGGCGGGGAAAGCTTCCAGGTTTATGGAACAGTGTGAGCCCGCCAGGAGAGGTATGAAGGACACAGGGCTCTGTGGGGCACGGCGTCGACGAGGCTGGAAGAGTCCCAAGGCCAACTGGGAATGGTCCGCCTTTTCTACTCTGGCCTGCTCCAGCCCCTGCTCTGGGGAGTCAGGGAAGGGGACTTGCCCAAGAACTAACTACAGGGGCTTTTGGGTGGGCTTCCCCACCCAAGTTCAAGAAGAGAAGCAAACGTCTGTGTCCCTGGACAGCAGTGTGGCCTGGCCAGTCGGGGGCTGGCTTCAGCCATCTTTGGGCAGGAAGCCTGGGCATGCCTTTGTGTGCTCTTGTTTATGTTTTTTCTGGTCGTCAGCTGTTTCCTAGGGAAGTTCTCTGTCAAAGCTCCAAGTCGGACTTGGCTGATCCCAAGGAAGAGGAGATTTATCTGCACTTGGGTGAGGAAACCAGAGTGTTCCAGAGGCAGGACCGGGGTACTGGGCAGGAGCCAAGGCAATTCTGGCCAGCCTCCGTGGCCCCTGTCCCCAGCCATTTCTGCAGCCCCTAACCCGTCCTGCCTCCCTCCCCCACGCCAAAGGCAGTTGGGGCAGCTCTGAGAGCAAGCCCCAAATATTCTCTCATCCTGCCGAGGCTAGTCCCCACCCACCAGGGGAAGCTGCCTTGGGGGCTGCCACTCGCCTTCCCTCTCAGGGCTCCTCCACAGTGAAGGCAGAGTTGCTGGCCCCTGCCAAGCTGGGTGGAGCTGGGCAGGGGCCCAGGGAGGCATAGGCAGGTGGAGGGGCGCTCAGGGTTCCGGAAGCATCAGAGCTTGGCAGGGATGAGCTGGGGGAGCAGGGACAGGGGCGAAAACGGGAAGGGAGGGAGGAAGCTGGAGTGGAGGCCACCTCCTGGGCACCTCTGGCCCCTCGGCCTGGAGACCAGTATCGGCTTCTGAACCTCCGGAGCAGCATGAGGAATGTAATGACCATGAGGTCGAAGATGAACTCGGCCATCTCCACCACAGACAGCACCGAGGAGCCGAACCACAGGCTCCACTGGCTGCCCAGGTTGGACAGGAGGGTGACCATCTGGGAAGGAGAAAGGCACACTGACCACCGGGGTACAGGAGCCCCACCCCTCCTCACCTGAGGCCTCTGGCCACTCCGCTCAGCCTCTCAGTGGTCCCCCTGGACCCCTTCTGTCCAAGTCATACCCAACCTCACACACCCTTCCTTCCCTCTACCCCAAGAGACTTCGTCCCCCAGCCAAGCGCCCCTTCTTCCAACCCTCTCGCCCTCGCCCTCACTCCTTGCCCCTTTCCCCGGGCCCTACCTTCAAGGCCCAGACACTCTGGCCCCCCAGAGGCACCACCGTGTTTTCCCTGACAGCTGCCCACTTAAGCCCCACCCCCCAGATAAATCACAGGCTCACTGAGGCAGCACGTACAGTGACAGAAGGAGACTCAGAATTGGTTTTGTAGTTCAGCTCCTTGAAGAAGATATTGAGTTTGGCAACTCCATTTCTTTGGCATGGGGGAGAGGATGGGAAGAAACGGCAGAGTGTTAACTTCTCCGACACTCACAAACGCCCTCCACCAATCAACTGTATCGGTTTTCTTTCCAGATCTGTTTTCCCGCCCAAGGATTCCTTCCCTGGGGCTGCGGCCAGGGCAGGACTGACCTTTTGTTTTTGATAGTGTAGTTGTTCTGCAAGGAGAGCATCCGGAAGACCCAGTCCTGGGAAAGAATTGGGGTGTCAAGGGCATCACTTTATACTCTCCAGACTGTAGGGCTGTTCAAACACACCCACACACATACACCCTGAGAAGACCACAGTGTCACACACACGTCCCCTTTTGTTCCCTTTCCCCACTTTACCTGGGATGTCACCGAGGGCCATCGCGAGTAACCCGCAGAGAGCTTGTAGCTGGTCACGCTGGGAGCGGAGAAAGGCACTCAGTGATGGAGGCGGGGCTTTCCCACGCAAAGGCTCAGCTAAGCCTTCTACCCAGGCAAGCAGCCAGCTGCCCGCCAACCAGGGCTCCAGGGGAAGGGGACACTCACCTGCACGGCTTCCGGCACTTGCTGAAACAGCCCAGGCGATCGGAGGAGAAGGCGTCCTGGAGCTTGTAGTAGCAGTAGCCTGTGGGCACAGAGAGGCATCATTTTCCTGGAGCACCTCAACCTTCCCCACCCCACAGCTGAGAGGTCTCTCAAGCTCCCTGGGGCCCTCTTCACCAGAGTATTAAATAGATCACGGTGATGTCTACCGTGTGGTTGCACCAAAAACTTTCAGAAATTAAGCCAACCTAGGGGTGGGGAGGGGAAAGGATACACCTATGTAAAGATGTGTCAAATTTGGACAAAAATTAAAAAGTCAAAAAGAAAAACAGGAATAACTGTAAAATATTGAGATTAAACCACCATGAGATAACACTTCATACCCTTAGGATGGCAACAATTGAAAAAAAAGACAATAGCAAGCGTGGCTGTAGAGAAACTGGAACCTCCCAGATCGCAGCTGAGAATGTAAGATGGTGTGGCCACCCGGGAGAGCAGTCTGGCAGTTCCTCAAAATTTTAAACACAGAGCTATGGTCTGACCCAGAAATTCCACTCCTAGGTATATGCCCAGGAGACTTCAAAACCTACATTCACACAAAAACTTGTACACAGATATTCACAGACACAACAGTCAAGAGTGGTGGAAAACCCAAATGCCCCTCAATTGATGAAGGGATACACGAAGGTGATATTTCCATACAGTGGAACATTATTCAGGCATAAAGAGGAATGAAGTTCTTACACACGCTACAAGGTGGATGAACCCTGAAAACCACAAAGGACCATATGTCATATGACCCCATTTGTATGAAATGGGGGGAACAGGCAAATATAGAGACAGAAAGGAGACTAGTGCTTGGCTGAGGGTGGGAGGGGGGTAGGGGGTAGGGGGTGGGCATGGGAGAGGGACAAGGGGATGGTAGGTCCAGGGAATGGGGAACTTGACAAGTGCTAATGGGTACAAAGTTTCTGTTTGGAGTGATAAAATGTTCCAAATGTAATGTTCTAAAATCCATGAGGCCATTGTGGTACAACCCCAGGACTATACGAAAACCTAAACTATACTGAGATTGAACTGAACACTTGAAATGGGTTGAATTATCTCAATAAGGCTGTTTAAAAAAAAAAAAAAGAACAAGAGGCCTATAGATTCACTCTCTGCCCCATTTGCCAAGGTCTAAGTAAGGTCATTCTGTTCTCCTGCTACCCTCCGTCACCCACTCCGGGAGTCCTCCTTCATTCCCGACCCAAACTCCTCAGCCAGCCAGGTCTGGGGGTCTCCAGTGAGCAGGGCTGGGACGCAGCGGGGCCCTCTTCTCGGAGGGGTGAGCGGTCCTTGGGAAACAGCACACTGAGTTTTCAGCCTAGTTCCTCTCTCTCATCCCCACAGCTTCTCAACAATCAGTATTTTTTTTTTCTCTCAGGGTTCTTCCTCAAACTGACAACCACTTAGAAATCATCATTTGGGGGCAGAGGGAGCAGTGGTCAGGGAGTCACGCCCGGGCTTCCTGGGACGTCACACCTCGCCTTTGGGTGTCAGCTTGTTTATCTGACAGGAGAAAGGAGAAGGTGAGGCCAGAGGGCCTCCGCGTTTCCCTGCAGCTCTGATGCACTATGATCTTCTAAGTTCAGAGAAACAGGAAGGGAGGCCACAGACTGCAAAAGTACAGGCAGGGGAGAGGGCTGTGTCGAGCAGACCCAGGGAAGGAAGAAGGAGGAAAGATCAGCACAGGCAGAGCCCAGACAGAGGCTCGTCCCCTGAGAGGTGTGAAGGCTTGTGTCCCCCAGCGATGGGAGCCACCCACCCCCTGGGGGCGGGGGGAGCTGGTCCCGGGGAACCAGGAGGAAGAGACTCCCAGGACTAGTCAGCTGGGACACTTAAGGGCATGTGCACCAGGAAGGCCACCCTTCTGTTTTCCATAGTTTCTTATTTAGGATTTTCTCTCTCCCAGCTTCCTGGCGCACAGCTTCCCTGCTGAATAACCCAGCTGGGGTGGAAAGAAAAAGGGGTTTGTCTACTCCTAGACCAGGATAAGGATAAGGAGGACACTCCAGGGCTCTCCAGAGTTTTTTGATTGTGTCCTCCCGAAGGTAAAAACTTCTTAAATAAGCAACTCTAATATATGTATTTGGTTTATAAAGTGTATACTGGCTACTATTGAATTGATACATTGTATACATTATAAAACAGACATGACTGGAAGGTGTAAGGAAATGACAGAGACACATTTAACTTCTAGTATTTTCTCCTTGCAGGCAGCGAGTTATCCCACACCTGGCCCAGGGCCTTGAGGAGTGAGACCAGGAGGCTGTAGGCAGTGCGTGCGCTGAAACCTCAGCAGGCCTGGTACAGAACAGGGAGGTTTGCCTCACGTGCTCTTCCTTCCTTATGCTGCGGGTTATTTTTAAATGGGGCCATTCCTTTACAGACATACAGAAGTCAAAACAGAAAGAGAGAAACTGTGAGGCAAGAACAGAGATAGTGAGGGGAAATTGCAGCGAGGCGAGTCCAAGGACTGGAAAACAAGAGACAGAGAAAATGAATCAGGGCCATGGGAGCTGGAAGCGGCCCCACAGACAGAGGGCGCTGAGAGGAGAGGGCTCCCGGGGGAGTCCTGGGTCCCTGGGGGAGTCCTGGGTCCCCGGGGGCAGGCCAGGGGTGCCCTCCTGGACTCTCACCCCAGGAAGCATGCTTCCTATAGTCACAGTACTCCACATTGTCAGGCCGTGGATAGAAGATGTAGGCACAGCCACACTCCTTGACCATGCTCTCCTGGAAGCAAGAGTGAATGCACACCTGGAGGAAAGGAGAGGGGAGGGGAAGGGGGTTCAGGCTTGATCTCCCCCACGACAGCCCAGAAGAGGCAGGGAAGGGAAGGACAAACAATTCTCTGCACTGTACCTCCATCCCTCTTTCCACTGGTCCCCTCACTCCTTCACTCACACACACACACACACACACACACACACACACACACAAACACACTCACTCCGATTTTGACTGACCAACAGTGCAGGCCTAGGAAATGGTTGCCATAGAAACACACTGGCCTCACCTGCTGTGTGTACTTGGAATTATAAAGGTTCTTGACTTGGACGTCACTGCCATTTTTGGTGCAGTCGCCATAGTCGCCCCCAAGTCTGTCCAGAGCTTCCTGTGAACGCACACATACCAAGACGGCAGAGGTCAGAGGCCAGAGAAAGTGGCCCAGGTCTCTTCCTGAATTCTCTGTCTTCCCTCGGTCTCAGGTTGCATCTCCTACCCTGCCAGCCTCTCCTGTCTGCCTCCCCACTTCCAAACATGCTCGCAGTGTCCCCCAGTGTCCATCTCAGTGCTGCCTTCAAGGACACTGGGCTCACAGCATCCCCTGGAATCCTAAGCATGTCCTGAACCCCTTCTCTGTACTCTCATCCAAGGTCCACTCCTCTGGTCCCCACCTTCTGATGTCCACTCTGCCAGCTCCCTGCCCCCCCCTAATTCCTGCTCCTGTAGACCCCCACATGCTCAAGGGCCAGACTGCATGATCCCCGTCCTAAGCCTTCTGGCTGTCCGGTCCGTCTCCCATACCCTCTTCCTTGCCCCTCATCAATCTAGTGCTCTCCTCCCAGGCCTCCCAAGCAGCATTCTTGCCTTCCTCATGCTGATGGAGGTCTCTATCCCAGGCCGCAAGTTAAAGCCACCGTCATCCATGAAGGCAGGCTCGCCCTGCCCATGCACCATTACCCTGGCCCCAGTCACTGTGGACAGCAGCGGGATGAAGTCATTCTGCTCTGTGCGCAGAGTCAGGGACAGACCTGGAACACGTAGAGGGAGCAGAGTGGGAGGAACATCTTGGAAAAGCATTAGGAGATGGAAACCCACCCTCCCTCCCTGCCCAGTTCCTAATGCTCCACGTAGAGCAAAACAGGAAGACCGACAAATGGATGTGGCAACAACCCCTGAGCTGGATTCTGGGGGCAGGCTGGAAGGACTGGGACAGGATTCCTGTCACACCTGGAGTGGACAATGTGGTTCCCATAGTGGAGAAAGAACAGTGAGGACTCCTTCCGGGACTGATAGGCACGCTACGCTGGGGCTCAGAGGTGCAGGGCATCTCTAGGATACGAGCTCAAGGTGGGTAAATGTGGGCAGGTGGGGCAATAGGAAGGGCTAAGGCAGAGGTCAGGGGCTGAGGGTATGGGGAGTTGCTCACCATTGTTGATCCCGGGCATAGAAGACATCCAGAGGTTAGAGTTGTTCTCGCTGTTGAAAGTGTAGCAGTTTCCATATATCGGGTGGTGGAAGTGAGAGTAATTCCTATTTGGGAGCAAGAGAGAGAAAAGGGTCATAGGGGAAAGTGTAAGAGGTCAGGGAGTTTCAGCACCCTTCGTTCCTTGATCACCTACTATGTGCTAACCAACAGCCTGCAAAGGCATCATTCCATCACGAAAGAGGAAGCTAGAGCACACACAGCAATGACAAACTCGGGGCTCAATCTCAAGTCATCCACCTTCCAGTCCAGGTTCCTCCCAGCAGGCCACCTGACCTAACGGGCCTTGTGACCTCCCTTAGGTCACTGTGTTGCATTATGAGGACTCGTGCAGTGCCCCTTGTTTCTCACATTTCGCCATGTGGATTGTGATCTCTTTGAGGGTTGGAGCCACATCCCATTCATCTCTGTATCATCTCTGGGTTAACTGCATAGCTCTTGGCACACAGGAGACAGTAAATAGTTGTTAATGAATGAATGAAAGAAATGGAAGGGAACAGGGTTAGAGGCGAGAGTAAGATGTGTGGTGAGCATGGTGCTGAGAGGAGGAAGATTAGATTCTAGGACAGAAATGAGTAAGGTTCTGGTTGCATGGCTCTGAGAAAGTCATTTTTTCTAAGCTTATTCTCCTTACCTGTAAAGTAAGGAGACTGGAACTAAATGATCTGGCATATTCCATTGTCCTTGGAGAACAAAGATGCAGAGGTGGGAAATATTGGTGCACATTCTGGGAAGTGCTAGAAAGACAACATTGCCAGAGCAAAGGCTGGATTCAGGCAGGGACCGAAGAGGAAGCAATGAAAGTAAGGAGAGGACATCCCAAAGGGCCTGGAGTCCTGCTCAGTGGGAGAGGGGACAGGTACTGTGTGATGGATGCAGACCAGGGACTCTATGCAGCAAGCAGCTCTAGGGCAGGTGGAGCAACATGGATAGATCTTAAAAAGAGAGCTTAGTAAAAACAAAAAAGCCACAAGAGGTAAAATGAAATATATAACAAACACTATATTACATACACGTTTTGCAGAAACAGATACAAAGAGATACACACTAAGGACAGTATAAGAATATATGAGAGGCAGTATGACGTGATGGTGAAGAGCAGACTCCAGAACTAAAATACTTGGGTTTGATTCCTAACAAGCATTAGCTGTGGGACCAAAGAAGTCACTGTACCTCTCTGTATTGCAATTTCCTTCTCTGCAAAATGGGAATACTAATACTACTTGCCTCACAGGGGTCTGTGAGGGTCAAATGACATTTAGAACAGTGCTTAGCACATAGTAAGAGCTCTGTACGTTTACTATTAAGATTACAGGGATTCACTAAGATGGCTAAAGTAAAAAGGACAGACCATAACAAACGGACAATGTAAAGAATTCAGAACCCTCATACGCTGCAGGTGGGAATGAAAAATGGCACAGCCGCTTGGAAACAGCCTGGCAGTTCCTCAGCATGTTAAATGTAGAGTTACCTTGTGACCCAACAATTCCACTTCTAGGTATATACCTAGGAGAAATAAAACCATATCTGTACAAAAACTTGTACAGGAATATTCATAGCAGCATTATTGACACTAGCCAAAAAATGAGAAGGACCTAAAAGTCCATCAACTGAGGAACAGATAAACAAAACGTGGTAGATCCATATAATGGAATATTATTCGGCCACAGAAAGGAATGAAGTACTGACACACGCTGCAACGTGGATGCACCTTGAAGACACTGCGCTAAGTGAAAGCAGCCAGATGCAAAAGCACACATACTATATGCTACATGTATAGGAAATGTCCCCAGCAGGAAAACCTATAGAGACAGAAAGTAGACTAATGATTCCCAGGGCTTGGAGGAGGGGAGGGACTAGGAAGCGACTGCTGATGGATACAGGGTTTCTTTCTGGAGTGAGGAAAATGTCCTTAAATTAGTGGTAATGAATGTACAATTCTGTAAATATACAAAAAAAAAAACATTGAATAGTATATATTAAAAGGATGAGTTTTACAGTATATAAATTATATCTCAATACATTTGATTTTAAAGGAAAGATTATAGAGAGAAGAGGAAATGGTGTTGGACATAAGGGAAAAGAGTTGGGTAGGAAAGACATGATAAAGAGCTTCAACTTGATTCTGAAGGCCATGAGACATGTTGAAGGGTATTAAACACAACTAATTGGAACAGTTAAGTACAGTGACATGAAGTAAGAACAGTGAAGTATGAAGCTTCCTGTGATTACAGAATGAAGAGAGGATTTTGAGGCAGAAAGACAACTTGGGGTGGCGGGAGAGGGGGGATGAAGTAATAACCCAGGTGAGAAATCATGAGGCTCTGAGATAAGGAAGTGACCTAAGCATCAAGACTGAGATGAACACGGACTGTCCATTGATAGGAGGTAGGAGCACAGGGCAGGCAGAATGGAAGGATCAGTGGGAAGGTGACAGAGACTTGGTGGCGAGTGTGAGCTGACCCGGGTTCAGGTGTTGTTACTGTCTCACTTCCCAGCTGGTAGATCCTGTCCTTAAACAAACACAAAGAATAGGGAACAAAATTGTGTGCCGGGCAGAGTGTGTGTGCCAGGTGGAGGGTGGAGGCAGAAGCAGGTGACACTTGGCCCTGCTGCCATTAAGCATCAACATGGGAGGGAAGGGCTCCCTGTAGAGTGGACAGGCTGCCTCGACTCCCTTCCTCAGCCAGGCAGAGGCAGGGAGATGGCACCTGAAAATCAAGGAGCAGAATCAGGGAGGGGATGGAAGGGCCAGAGGCTACAGAAGGAAACCTCCCTTACTCTTAGCCTCTCCCAGCCCTCAGAGAGCTGGCAGCTGCCATGACCTCTTTGCAAGGACATTGTAACAGGAATCGTAACAGAAAGAATACCTGGCAGGAAGAACCCTTAAGCTAGGACTGACCTGGTGGCCTAGGACAAGTCACTTCTCCTGTTTGAATACAGAGTAATAAAACCCTTCAATCTTCGCAGTTTACAAAATACCCTCAAATTTGTCATCTCATGAACTAGGAGATGAATGTTATCACCATCTTCATCACTGGAGTAAAAGTGTCAAAAGGTCATATATTTTTTAAAAAGGTTTTATTTATTTATTTTTAGAGTGGGGAAGGGAGGGAGAAAGGGAAAGAAACATCAGTGTGTGGTTGCCTCTTGAGCTCCCCCTACTGGGGACCAGGCCTGCAACCCAGGCATGAGCCCTGACTGGGAATTGAACTGGCAACCCTTTCGTTCACAGGCTGGTGCTCAGTCCACTGAGCCACACCAGCAAGGGCAGAGCATATTTTCTTTGATGTATCCCAGATGCATAGACCAGTGACTAGCACATAGCCTAGACAGTCAAAAACATTTGTTGAATGAACTTGAATAAATCTCATTTTCAGCCCATTTACAAAGAAAGAAAAAGTCTCTGAAGAGTGATTTGAAATGCCCAGAATTACCCAGCCAGGAGGTAACAGAGCCAGAGCAAGAACTCAGATTTAATCCCTCACTCAATCCATGCTATTTCCACCCCACTACTGCCCGCCTCATCTGAGAAAGTGGAGCATGGAACCAGATGACCTTCCAGGCACTTTTGAGTTTGATCCTAGTGAGAAACAGGCCTTAGACAGACAGGGAACCATGCTTCCAGCCCTTGGTTTCTCAAAGCTGGACCTCAACCCTAACCTTCCCAGGGCAGCCATATGAGACTATCTCAGTCAGACCTAGCCTTGCAGGGAGCAGCAGATGTCCTGCAGAATCATCCATGGGGCAGAGGTCTAGACCTGAGCTCCATGTGTCCCCTTCTCTGTGCAAGCATTTATTTAGTCAACAAGCATTTCCAGGGTGCCTCTCCTGCTGGGCCTCAGGCTGGCTCTGAGAAGGAGACCCCGTGGGGAGCCCAAACCCAGGCAGGACACACTCACGCCTGGCTGCAGGTGGCCTGGTTGAAGCGGCAGCTAAAGATGAAGTTGCCCAGCTTATTGTCCTCCTCCAGGGATGGGAAGGTGTTTGGCAGTCGCGACAGAATGTTGATGTAGTGGAAGCGGTACCACTCCCTCACGGCATCCACCCCGGATGAGTAGGTCTGATAGAAGCAGTCGGATTTGTTCTGGTTGCACTGCACACAGGGACCAGAACGTCAGAGGGCCAACGGCAGGCGGCAGGGCAGGGTTCAAGATCAAGGAATGAGTGGTCTGAGGTCCTGAGGATGCATAGGCAGGGGTGGGGAGCCGGAAGTTGACCAGATCAGAAGACACAGAGAAGCAGAAGCCGGATGCAGAGTGGACCAGGAGGGCATGGGATTAAGGAAGTGGGAGGCTGAGGAGACCATCAGCTCTCATTTCTACAGTCTCTGCGGGAGGGTGGAGCAAGGATTCTTCTCATTGCACTGATGGGAAGACTGAGGAGGGACCAAGAGGTCTGTCCCAGCAACAGAGCCGCAGCGAGAACTCTTGGTCTCCTGGGAGTACGGCCCACTCTCACCAAACAGGGCTTCTCTTCTTCCCTCTGGTGCTCTCCCACTTCCACTTACTCCCTTTTTTAATTAAAATAACAACCAGGTCTCCCTCTTCACTGTCTCCTTACTCTCTGCCTTAGGCTTGCAGGACCCAGGTTCCCCATCACACTGCAGATTCCCAATTGTGTCCCACCAGCAGGAACTGCGACTCAGAAAGGTGCCTTCTCCGCAGATTTGACTCCTGGCCACTTAACCACTTCCCCAGAAGCCTCCAGAGGGGAGAGACCCCCACAAGCTGACGCACAGAGAGCTGTTATTTCATTTTATTTTTCAAACTGTAGCAATTAATTAATTAATCAAGCCAGCAAGCGGATGAGGCCCCGCCTCAGAAGTGGGCAGCGCAGCGGGGTAGGGGGCGGGGAGCAGGTTCAGGAAAGAGAGAGGGGTCCAGGGCGTGGGCGGAACCGGAAAGGCCGGGGCTGCGCCCCTCGGGCCAGTGGGCGGGGCCTTACCAGCTTGAAGCCGATCTTCCAGTCCTTCCAGTTCACTTGCGGGTTGTTGTCCTGCATGCTCGAGGCGGCGTTGCTGCGGGCTCTGCGGGCCGCAGGGGGCGACGCCGGGTCGTGCAGGCGTTGCAAAGGATGCAACAGGGGCCCCCGGAGGTCGCGGAGGTCGCGACGGCCGCGGGGGTGGGTCCCGGTGGTGTTGAACTTGTATTTGTACAAGTCGTAGAGCGTCTGTTCGGTGATGCGGTCCAGTTCCTCCAGCTCCCCTTTAATTTGCGTGTACCTGGAAGGGTGGATGGGGAAAGGGTCAGACTAGGGGGCAGCCCCGCGCGAATGCCTGGCCCCTGTGGGCCTCAGTTTTCCCGTTGGAAACTGGTGAGGCAGGAGGGGCTGTGTGTAGGGGGAGACAGGTGTGCTCTTGGGGGTTAGTGGAGGCGACAGTGAGCCCCAGCGGTGACGGCATTTATTGCGTGCTGTGGCCTGTTTGTCGAAAGGGAGAGGCAGGAGGCGTCTGTCAGTCAGGCGCTCCCCTCCCACTCGCCCTTGCCTAGACGGGAACCCGGAACTTGTGTGCCCTTTCCCAAGGCGGAGAAGGGGTGGCCTTGACCTGGGCCCATACACTCCCACGGACCTGCGGTGGACCCGCAGTGCGCAAGTCATCCCGCTCTGATCTCCTCAGGGGAGCGTGGCCTTTGGGCCTGTCTGCCACCGACACCTTCTAAAGCAGGGGTTCTCATCCGCACTTCTACCGTGGAACTTAAAAAAAAAAAAAAAATACCAATACAGCACACTACCCTCCCCCCAACCAGGATTCCATTTTAATGAGTTCTGGGTGGGGCCCAAACTCTCTAAGTTAAACACTGTCTAGTATCATCACATTCCGACTTCTCAATACCGGTCCACTTACAATCTCTATCATGAAATTCCACAGTAGCAGGGCCGTGAGGATAGAACCCACCAAAACAAAACACACACACACGTAAACGTACACACAGGCACACAACCCAGAACTAATTAATAAACAAGGTTACAGGATGCAATCACAATATACAGAAATTAATTGTATTTATACACACTAGCAACAAAAATTGGGAAATGAAATCACAGAACATTATATTAAATAACAAACAACATCAAAAACTAGGAATAAACTTACAAAAGATGTGCAAGACTGCTAAACTGAAAATCTTGCTGAGTGAGATCAAAGACCAAAATAAATGGAGAGCTATAGATGGTTATGGATCAAAAACTCAGTGGTGCTAAGGTGTCTCCCAAATTGATCTTTAGATTCAACACAATTTCTATCAAAACTTCAACAAACATTGTTTTAAAGAAATTGACAAGTTGGTTCTAAGATTTATACAGAAATGGAAAGAATTTAGAATGCCCAAAACAATTTTAGAAAAGAAGAGCAAAGTTGGAGTACTTACTCTACCTGACTTTACGACTTTCTATAAAACCACAGTAATCAAAACAGTATCATACTTAAGAATAGACAATAGATCAATAGAACAGAATTAAGTCCAGAAATAAACTCACACATATATGATCAACTGATTTTTTACCAAAGCACCAATTCAATTCAATGAGCAAAATAATTTTTTAACAGATGGTACTGGAACAATTTGGAAACTGTACCAGAAAAAAAAAATGAACTTCAACCTCCACCTCAGTCCATACACAAAAATTAAGTCAAGAAGGATCATAGACCTAAACATAAAATTCAGAACCATAAAGACACAAAAAGAAAACCTAGAGTATAGCTTCATGACCTTCAGGTAGGCAAAACTTTTTTGGAATAAATATCTAAGGAAGAACTCCTCCTGAATATATAAAGACATCTTACAAATAAAGAGACAAATCATGTTTAAAATGAACCCCACAAAATAAATAAATGGTCATACCACGTGAAAACTTGCTCAACATAATTAGTCCTCAGGGAAATGCAAATTAAAACCATAATGAGATACAATTTAACAGGCATTGGAAAGGCTAAAACTAAAAGACTGCCAACATCAAATGTTGATGAGAATGTGGAGCAGTGGAATTGCTGCTGGAGGGAGTCTAAAATGGTACAACTGATTGGAGGACCCCTTGGTGGTTACTTATAAAGTTACACATGAATCTACCTTATGACCCAGTAATTTCTCTTCTGGATATTTTACCCAATTTCCACTCATAGCTATTTACCCAAGAGCAATGAAAACAGAAGGACTTGTACATGAGTGTTCATAACATTTTTATGTATAATAGCCAAATGCTTTAAATACCACTAATGTCCATGAATACCACTCAGCAGAAAAAAGAGAGAGAAACTGATAAGGCGAAAAACATGGGAGAACTTCAGACACATTAAGTTGAGCAAAATAAGCCAGACACACAAACAAGAAAATTCACATTGTTACACCATGTATATGAAGTCTAAGAACAGATCAAACTAGCTAATGGGATGAAAGTCAGAAAATGAATGTGGAGAGGGAAAAGAATTGATTGCAAAGGGACACCAGGTAATGGAAATGTCCAATATCTAAATTATCAAACCTCACTGACCACCTAAGAGCTGTGCATTTTATCATATGTAAGTTATGCCCCAAAGAAGTCAAACACCAAGGCAGGACTCCACTCACCAGAGGTTCAGTTTTCAGGTTTAATGGGAAGGGGTGGAATCCAAATAAGTTTTTTTGTTTGTTTGTTTGTTTTTTTACAAGAGCCCCAGGGGGTCCTACTGCACCACTATGAACACTGTCTAGTCCACATCCTCACAGGCCTCCTCCCCTTGGCTCCACCTCTCCCTCCCTCACAAAGGTCTAGCTGGCTGGGCCTCAGGCAGCAGCTCCAGCTGCCCCTCATCCTCTCATAGCAGAAAAGGTCGCTCAGGTGGAAGGTGTGTGTTTGATATGCTGAGAGATTTCTTTGTTACTGGTAATTAAAAGAATGGCTAGAATAGCTAGTATTTACTGAGCACTTACTATAGCCAGACATTGTGATATTAGAATGTGCATTATTTAATTTAACCTTCAGTGTAATTCAGCATACTAATAGCCATCGCTATTGCTATTCCCTCTTACAGGTAAAAATCCGGAGGCAGGTGACTTGTTCAAGGCCATGCAATCAGGAAGCAGGTCAGAAAGCACTCTAAACCACCACAATACCCCCCACCATGTCTCTGCTAGCTCTGGCTATTTTAGGAAGTTGGCAAGGTGCCCCAGAAAGAACACCAGAGTTAGTTGGCTGGATCTGGGTCCTGGTGTTCTGGTCGAACACTTTCTAGCTGTGTGATGTTGGTAGGTAGACTTTCTGAATCCAACCTATTTTCTCATCTGTAAAATGGGCCCAACACTAGATCTGCCTGTGCATGAAGCTCTCAGAGGGTTAAATGAGAAAATAGTGACACAAAGTGAAGAGGCCACCAAATATCAGGAAGACACAGACAGGACCCTGAAGCCCAAGAAACTGAAGTATCTTTCTCATAACCACATTGTAAGAATTTGGGTGCCCCAACTTGGCTGGAGTTATCTCCACAACATGAGCTACCACATCTCCAGCCGGGCCTCCCTTTTCACCTGCCCCCACTCCATCCTGGGCTGTCTCATGTCCCTCTGTGCCCCTCTTCTGCCTCCTACACCTCCCTCACTCTCCTCACCAGCTCCAAGGGGTCTATGGCTTCTCTAGCCACATCTCTCTTCCCCATTGAGCCCCAGGCTGTCCCTATGCCAGGCTCTCCCTTCAGTGGCCTTTCTCATATTCAGCTCCCCCCTGCTTCTTCCAGAGAGGCCTTTGGTGATCACCCCCTCGACTCCCACCTGTGACAAAGCCCCCAGAAGAGGCCAGGCTCCATACAGAATGCCATCACTCCCCCAACGTCTACTTCTCTCCCCTGTTTTGGCTTGAGGCAGAAAGAAGTATTCCCATGTCACCCCTTCAATGAAGAAACCTCTCCTGCCCTTTCAGCTGACACCTGGAGCTAAAAAACTGCCCATGAGTAAAACCCACTGACTATATCAGATCATGTCCCACAAGCAGGAGGACTCTGGCAAACAGGAGGTCAGGGCCGAGAGGGCAGAATGCTGACAAGGGGGCTTCAGCAAGACAGTGCAGCCCTTCTAACCTTGACCTCCTACCCAGGTCACGATCACTACCTTCACTCTCATCTGCTGTGGCAGGAAGCCCTGTATTGGGGGTGGGCGGAGTGAACACTTGCACAGTTCGATCAGGCAGGCAGTACTATCTCCGTTTTATTGTTGAGGGAACAGGCCCATCAACTTGGCAATTTCCTCCACGGTCACTCGGCGAGGAGGTACCAGAAACAAGATGTGAACCCAGGCTTTTCCAACTCCACGGCCCCAACTTTCTTCACCATTCTGCCTCTGGGCTCAGAAACACATGAGATTGGGCAACAAAACCTTTTCCCGCTGCTGCCCACCTCCCCTCCAGCCCATTTTCTCTGATAAGGACAGACTGGCAGGGTTGGGGACACTGGGAAACTCGGGGACTGATACCCTGTTCTCCATCTGTGTCTCCTCCTCCTTTCTCCCTCTTTCCCCTGGGTGGCCTCCTCGCACAGGAGAGCCCATGCCACCAGGCAGCCTTGGGATTTGCCCAAACCCTCATCCCACACACCCACCCACCAGAAGGCCCCTGGGTGAGCGTCCTCAGCCAGCATTCTGGACATACTCAACAGAGCTGGCCGCTGGAAACTCACCAGCTTCCTCCCCTGCCAGTGTGTATCTGGGGACTTAACCCACTCCCTCCCTCCTCCAAGGACCACCTGGAAGTCTTGACTTCCCTTTCTTTGGCCCCTTCCCCAGCTCCATTCTCCTCCACATCTCAGCACCGATAACCAGTCTCCCAGACTGGGAGACACGCTCCCTCCACAGCGGCCCCTCTAGAGTGGGTTGCGATCTCTCAGATCACATGTGGAAGTCAGCCCTGGCTGTGACATTTTAAGAGCAATAGATGTTCATAAACCAATGACTATTCAAAAGACAGAAGGTCAGGGTGGTAAGAGCTATAGACATCATTTTATCCAGGGAAAGACACAGGAACTAAGTTCTAATCATCATCTCAGGCTCATAGTCTTGCCTCTTGTTAGACAGTTAATCTTGGAGAAGTGACTTATCCTCTGTGCCTCTGTTTTGTCATCTATAAAATGGGAGTATTAATAGTACCTGCTGCATTGGGTTGGCAAGAGGGTGAAACGAGTGCAAAAAACACCTGCCTGGCAGGGTAGGTACTGTACAGCTGCTGCTATTGTTTTTATTTTCATTACTGTTATTATTACTGTGACTGGAGGAGAAAAAGCCTTGGAAACACGGGAGCCCTGCCTGCCACTCATCTACCGTGAGACTCTGGTCTTAACAAAAGTGGAGCCCAAGACCAGATTCCAGTTCTGACCCCTCCACTTACCAGCTGGGTGATCTTGGCAAAGCCTTTGGGCTCTCGCAGCCTCCACTTTCTCATCTGACTCTGGGGTGATATTTCCCTCCTTATCTAACAAGCTGGTTATGAGGATCAGAATACGATAGCGAACCTCGCAAGGTGCAACACAGTTACTGCCCTCCTGGGCACACCACGTGGCTAGCCATGAGCTGGAGGAGGAGAGGTCTTTAGGGTGGCTTCAAAGAGACAGAACCAGGACCAGAGGGTGGACACTATCATGAGGTCAACTGCAGCTTTAACGAAGGAAGAACTTTCTACTGGCGGTCTCCCCAGAGGTAGTGAGGTTCCTGGCACAAAAAGGAGTTCATTGCTGCGGGGACAGTGGGAGGAGTCAGCTCTAAGGGTCTGGGTTTCCTGTCCCTGCTGGGCCTGCCACCTCAAAGCCTGGTTTCCAGATCCTGCACAAAGCTCAGGGTCGCCCCACCAGGGTTACTGACCAGAAGAACTAGCTCAGATCCCTCCCCTCCCTCCCTGCCGCTTCTCACTTGGGGAAGCTGCCCCTGTCCTCACCCCATCCTGCTGCCATGCCTCCTGCTCTGCCGTCTCTGGGAAGGAAGATTCCATTGCCTCCGTCGTTGTTAAGAACCTCAAGTCCTTCCATAGGTCAATCCTAAATCCTTCCCAGAACTGGATGAAAATTATGTTCTTGGGCTGTTTTCTGTAGCTGTGAATATGACTGGCCGTCTCTCTTGGGCGAACAAAGCCCTCTGTTGGCCAGAAAGAAAGGGACAGTGGCTGACCCTTCATACTGGATTCTTAGAACTTCCTTGCTTAGTGTGGTGGGTCTTTAGCCTTTATCCCTGAAGTTACAGAGCAGCCAGCCCAGAACCCTGCACCTTCTCCTTCCTCCCCCTGGGCTGGCCCCGCCCAGCTGCCAGTAATGGGCATCCCTGGTCTGACTTTGCCTCATTCCAGTTATTTCGACCACTGACGTCCACCTCCTCTCTGCTTCCCCTGTAGGAGTCATTCATCTCACTTCTGCCTCCGGCACCCGCCACCAGCATGATTCACACCTGGGTCACTACCCACCAGGCTGCACTAACCTGCAACCTACCCCTGCCTCTCTCCCTGAACAGAGACCAACAGCCCTGGACCCCTCCCTCCTGTACTCCTGACAAATATCCCCTCCTGTTACCGCTGCTCTTCCCCAGGAGCTCTCACCAGCCTCCCCCCAACACTGGCACCTCTGCCTGGCCCCACCTTAAAGCACAATGGGAGAAAGGGCTTTGAAATCAAACACACTTGGCGTGTTACTCAGCTGCTTGATCTGGGAGGCACCGGCTTCCGGGGATGGGAGGTTGTTTTTTCACCCCAAGGTAACCACCTGCTACCTGTGTGAACTTGGGCAAGTAACTTAACCTCTCTGAGCCTCAGTTTCCTCATCTATAAAGTGGGGGTAAACTGGTACCTACTTCAGAGGTCTGTTGTGAGGATTAGGTAATCTCATTAATGTAGAATTTGTCTGGCACATAACAAGACTATCTAAGTTTAGCTATTGATGCTGCTGTTGGTTTATTTGCTGTGTGACCTTACTCAATTATTTCACCTCCATTTCCTCACCTGCAATTTGGAAATAAAAAAGCCCACCTCCATGGACTTGTCAGGATTCAATGAGATAGTGCTTATAAAGCACTCAGAGCAGGGTCGATCTCATAGTAGGTGTTCGATAACCTTCCCCTACACTAAGGCGCTTTCCCTGACTCCCCTCCCTTCCTGGGCACCCTCCACTAAGTGCCGCCCGCAGCCTGTCCTGCAGGAGCGATTCTTCCTATGCGGATGCCGGTCTCCTAGCCTTCGGGCACCTGGAGGCAGGCACTCTGGTTTCCACCCTCTGCGGCTTTTTCCTGGACTGTCCAGGGCCTGCACCCAGGGAACCTTTGAAAAGGCGCAGGCCTCGACAGATTCACGCCTGCCCTCTCCATTTCTCACCCACACCTTTCAACCGCAGCGTGTGTTGAACATCTACTACCCTGCCTGTTGTCCCTCCTGCCTGCCAGCCCTTCCCTCCCTGCTGGCTCAGGGTGGCTCAGTGTCCCTCCTCTCCACTAAGGCCAGAGAGGAGGAGGGGTGGGGAAAGTGGGGGAGAGATTAGGGCAGGAGAGCTACAGGGGTCCAGGGAGAAGAGGAGCAAAGCCAGGGACCACCCAGGGAAGAGAAGGGAGGCGGAAGGGAGGAATAAAAGAGAACCAGGAAATGAGACGGAAACACCTTGTAGGAAACTTCATTTTTTCCACATCCCGTGTCTTTGGTATTAAGAGGAGGCAGAGGTTTACAATCAGGCAAGCAGAGGGTAAGTCACAGCTCAGCCTCTAGATCTGTGACCTTGTGACTTGTCTCTTTTGCCTCAGTTTGCTCACATGCAAAATGGGACATTAATAGACCTACTTGGGAGGTCTGTCGAAAGAATGAAAATAGAGGCCTGTAGGCGTGTAAATGGTCCCTTACCCTGGACATTATATGCAGGCTATCAGTGCGACGGCCTGGCCATTTTTTCTCTACAGGACAGGACATCCGACACTTCCTAGCCCAAGACACATCTTTGGACACAAGAGAATATAAGGGGGACCTACACCCCTAATATGTGACCAATCCCAATCCTCCACTGCACGCATACCCGACATGTTTGCTCACCCACACACACACTCACACAATCGCGGATGCATACACTCATAAATCTTACACTTCTTGAAAACAGAGGCTGTACGTCACACAATATTTTATTGTAATTAGCACAGTGTGCTGCAGGCATTTGTTTACATGCCAAGCTCTTCTGTCTTACTTTTTCTCCCCTAGTACCTGGGAAATCACCTGGCCTTCAGTGAAGACCGTATGAACTATTAATACGCCCATCTGCCAGGTGCCTAGCACTGTGTCTTGCTTGCAGCTAGGGGTTCTCATGGTGTCGCATGACCGAGTGACCACAAGTACAAGGGAGAGACAAACACCTAGCCCCATCCTCCTTTCTTCTCTATAGTTTAACACCCGCTCTGGCTTCAGGACCAAAAGTTGGCAGAGCACTGGTGAAACCCAAAACTTCAGGACACACTCGAGCACTTGGAAGTGAGGCTCCTGGGCAGGTGAACTGTGCAGCCCAGCAAGGATCACCTCCCCATTTTTACCCGGGTCTTTGGGGGGCCGGCTGGACAAGGGAAGAGGGGAACAGCTACCCCCTCCCATTCTCCTTCTGGTCCTGTAACCCTCCACCCCTAGCCTCAAGGCCCCCCATGGCTTTGCCACCGTCCCTCATTTTGCTTTCTCCAAAAAAAAAAAAACCCTTCTAACCCAAGGCTGACATAGCAGGGTCTAGTGCCTACCAGCTGCCACCACCCACCACCACAGCACCTGAGATAGGTTCTTCTCTGGAGAAGAAGGCTCTGTTCTTTGCTCTCCTCTCACTCTGGGAAAAGGCGGGGATGAACTCCACCCTGCCCTTTAGGAAGTGACCAGTTGACCTCATCAGCACCCGCTCCCACTTGTGGGAGGAAGGGAGGAGAAAGACACTGTTGGTCCAACAACCACACTCTGGGTAAGCCATGGGCACTGGGAGGGCTCCACCGGACTGTGCTACCAGCCCACAGAGTGGGGAACTCCCAATGTGGCCCGAAGGAAGGCCTGCCTTGGGACAGCATTGCCTTCCACCCCTAGGTCTGAGGCTCTGCCTGCGCAGCGGCACCTCCACCTCCACACCCTCTGTGCCACCCTTCCAGGCACCGGAAAGTGGCGGAGGGCCCAACTGACCTGTAGGGATTGAGGGTGCAGACGGTCACAGCAGGGAAGACAAGCTTGTCAGAGTTGATGTTGATGTTGAGGCTGACGGGGTAGCTAAAATACTCTTCGAACAGCAGGGCGAACTGCCAGTACATCATGACGAAGGTGCAGAGCCAGAGCACGGCCCAGAAGGCCGTCTTCATGCGGTTGTGCTGGGAGCACACCAGGCGGATGGCGCCGTGGATGGTGGTGTTGTTGCAGAAGAACTGGAAGAGGTCTCGATAGGAGCGGTGGAACTCGATCAGGGCCTCCTCCTCCTCCGTGGGCTGCTGGGGCCCCTCGGGTTCGGAATCCGGCCCTGGCTCCTCACACTTGTCTTCTTTCATGAGCCCTTGAGTGGGTTGTGGAGGGTGAGGGTGAGGGTCAGGGTCAGGGCAGAGCTCTGGGCTGCAAGTGCCCTCGCCCATCAGTCTGACCCCGGAGAGAGGCTGCTCCAGGCCATGCCCACATCCCACCCTGAGCTCACTTTCTCCCACGCCGCCCTCCCTCCACCTGCCCAGGAGCCAGCTGACCTGCTGGAGTCAGGACCAGAGCTGGGGCTGGGCTTCCCTGGAGTGGCCTCTCCTCTGCTTCTCTGATAAGGTCACCTTTTGGTTTCAGTCCCAGCACCTCCCTTTTTGCCTCCACAGCCATCAGCCTCTGCTTAGTAGTCAGTCTCGTTCTTGGTATCCCTGTGTCTTGGCGCGCTCTCCCTCTCCCTCCACCCTTCCTCCCTCTCTCTCTCTGCCTTCTGCTTCTTTCTCTTGGGCCTCTTTCTGGACACTCTTCTTCCTTGCCTGGCCCCTCTGTGTGCCAGGCTGCCTGATCCTGCCTCTCTTCTTCTTCTTCCCCACTTTTCTCTTCTCAGTCTGGGCTGTCTCCTCCACTCTCAGGCCCTCGTCCTGGGCTGTGTCTTGACTCCCTCAGCCCCAGGGACTACAGGGCTCCAGAAGTCCTGGCTGCCACCTGCTCCCTACTCCCAAGTTGTGGCTGGACTGGGACTGGTTCCTTTCTAGTTGAATCTGGCAGCTGAACCCCTCCTCCCCCTCACCTGACAGGTGCGGAGGCTGGCCGGGGAGCCCGCCCGCCAGCCAGGGGTGGAAGCAACAGAAGCCTCATTAGCATCTCAATTAAAGGTGAGCAGGGTAGGGGGAGGGTCAGAGGAGGAGTCTGAGCTGAAAGTTCCCCGAAAGGAGGAGGGCTCCTGAGGACAGGTGACCTGGGAGTTCTGGGACTGGAGAGGATGGCAGGAGAGCCCCAAGAAGAGTCAGGGCTGGGGGAGTGACAGGAAGCTGACAGGCAAGGAACCTGGGAAACAGAATGGCAGGTGAGAGCCAGAGAGCTTGAGCAGGGAGAAGGATCCTGAACACAAAGCCAGGAGGGCAAAACAAGGAAAAAGGACAAGCCAGGATGAGTGAGACTAAGGTGGGGAGACCAGGAGAACAGGAAAGGCAGAAAAAGGGAGATAGCTGGAGGAGGACAGAATGAAGGCCTGGGAGGGTGAACAGAGGAGAGAATGAAGGGAAGGGGAAGAGGAGGGGGCCAGCCCCAAAGGGACTGTCCCCTCCCCTACAGGACAGCAAGCAGAGGGAGCCCCACGTGGGCTTCCAGGAGGAGCTAGGTGCCCTCCGTGGAAGGGCAGGGCAAGGGCACCCACAGGTCAGCCTCACCCCACAGGTCATGGAGAGGATTTTAGCGGGAGTACCTCCTGATACTCAGCACGAAGCACCCTTCGGTCTCTCCCTCCTGATTTCATCCTCTTCCTTTCTGACACGTCAACATAACCCCCCACCTTGTCCAGGTCAGGGAGGGGCCCAGGTGAAGCTGGGGGCTAGGCGGGGCCCTAGGACATTCTGTTCTTTTTTACACCATTGGCTGCCAGGCCAGGAATGTGGTGTAATGTCCCCAGTTGTGGTCACGGGGTTGCAGGAATGTGGGCACTGAGAGGCAGGCAGGGGACGGGCAGGGGCACTTAGGCACAGACCGGGAGCCCAGGGACAGCAGGCACCGAGGGGGCAGGGGGGGATATGGGCAGCACTGGGTGTCAGGGAGGAAGAGGGCAGGCAGGCCCAAGTCTGCACCAGTCCTGGAAGGAAGGAAAAACTCATTGGTAGGGACTTTGCCTCCAAAGTCTCTTCCCCAAACTTAATCCAGCATAAAGAGTGAAGGACCAAGCGGTGAGCAAGCAGAAAGGGAAGGGTCTGAGAACCAGGCCCCAAAACAGGGTCCACACAGCTCAGGCCCCTTGTGACAGCCAGAGGCTGGACACTTGCAGACCCTCAGCAGGCAGGCCAGAGTGGCCTCCTCAGAGGAGCAGGCACAGGTGTCCCTACAATGAGCCCAGCATAGGCACACTGATATAGACTGATAGAAGGAGAGAGTAAGATAGGGATTCCAGTGGCAGAGATAAAAGCCCACTGCTCAGTGAGACTGGGGAAGGAAGGAGGGACACTAACCTGGAGAGACTCAGGAAGACTTCCTGGAAGAGGTGACATCTCAGTTAGGTCTTGTGAGGAACAACAAAGACTTTAGCAGCCAAAGAAGAGGGAAGCAGGGAACTCCAGGCTCACAGTACAGCCTGTTGCTTTCTGTCTGGACAGTCTCTTGTGGCCTCTTAAAGTGAGAGCTACTGTCAACCAGGCCAAACCCAGTCCCGTTGCTTCCTCTGATGCCTGCTGGGGACACCCACCTGGAAAAGGAAAAGTTGGCTTTTTCTTCACTTTCCAGATGAATAAACTGACCCTGCACTGAGATAAGCCAGTTTTATGAGGACACAAAACAAAATAGCAGACAACTGAAAACAGAATTAGAATTCTTCTCTGAGGTTGTCTACTTAAGGCTTTTGCCATTTACTTCCTGAGACAGACTAGCCACAGACTCCCGGGGAATCAGGGCTCCCCTGGACTTGGTTTTGAATGCCAGGAAGGTTTATACACTCACACAGAGCCCGTGAATTCATCAGCAATCTGGTCCTGGATTATTTCCCTGGCTCGGTCAAAAAGCTCTCTATACTGTCCCCACCTCCCCATGAGGCCCAGACACCCCTAGAAGCTCCATTCTCCCTTGATGGAGGTCCTTAAACTAGGGACGATCCTACCTACAAATGGGATAGCAGCACCCTGCCTGTTTGATCTCAGATGTTCTGAGAGACTCCTCCCTGCCTCTTCCATTTGTTACCTGGGGCCTGAAGCCCCGCTGCTGGCTTAATGCAGCACAAGCCAATCAGTGAGCTCATTTCAAGGGCTCTGGGAGATGAATCGCAAGGGCCTGGTCTGGGAGTGTGGTGTCCCTGTAGCCGCCTGCCAGGGAACCAGGGTGGCAGCGTGTGCTCAGAGACACAAGCCTCTGGGTCTGGGATTGGCCAGAGCAAGCTTGTTGTTGTGAGAAAAACAGAAATCTGAAACCTTCGCTTTTGTCATAGCTCCATTTAAAATATTATCTTTTGAAGTGCAGAAATAATACCCAAACACATTTTTGTGGCAGTATGATTTTCCAACAACACAGAAGTATACAGAACAACAAAAGCTTTTCTTTGTCCCATTCCTTTCCCGCCCCTCAGCCCAAGGGGAGCCATTGTAATTTGCGTATCCATCTATATCTTTTTGTGTGCTTGCTTGTATAGACTTACATGTATGTTTTAAAAAACAAAATATAGTTTTTTAATAAATGAGATGTTATAGGTTCATTCTATGGGTTCCCTTTTTGCCTTTAAGCTCTGTATGTGACTTTGAAAATGGCAGTTTACTCTTCTGAAAAACAATTGCAAAAAGGGGTAGAAAAGGCAGCTCAGATAGTGACAAAGATCCTTTCCAGCTGACTCTGCATCTAGCCCCTTGCTTAACACATGAGAGGGAACTGAAAAGCCCAGAGATGCAAAGTGACTTGCCCACAGTCACCCAGGAGTTACAGGTGCGGCCAGGTTGAGGACTGAGCTTCCCCCTTCCAAGCTCAGTGTCATTCTCCTAACCTCTACAGAAGTTAGAAGTTAGACTCTCGTTCTGTGGGGGACCCAGGGACCCAGGGCCTTGCAGACTTTGTCTTGGAAGCTCCCCCTGCCTCCCGCAGAGCTCCAGCCCTTCCTTCCCTGCCCGGCTGCCTTCCCCCTCCCAACACCAGCCACCCTCTCGCCCTGTGGTGTGGCCATAAAATGTGCAGCGGCTACAGGGAGAGAAGTGAAACGAGAGGGTCTACAGTGGGATGAGGCTTATGAGTTCAAAGGGTCTTCCTGCTTCTCACTCTCTAGGCAATAAAAGACAAGAGAAGTAATCATTTTCTCCACCACACTTCCAGACAGAGCCTTGTTTAGGGCGCTATGGCAGCACTTACATCTGTATACTATTATTACCCTGGTGTGTGCGTGTGTGTATCGTGCATCTGTGTATCTACATGTGCCCGGGTCATCCTAGGGTTCTTTGAAGATAGGCACCAGGCGTATTCATCTTGGTGGCCCCACTGTGCAGCTGTCACTACTCGCTGACCCACTGTGCAAAAATCAGAAGCATTAGCATTCGAGGTAAGACCCAAGGCTCATCTTTGACAGAGAGTGACGTGTGTGAGAAAGCATCCCCAATACATCAAACCTCCTGGTTTTCTCCGGTCACCCATTAATTTGTGGTCTATTAATTTATTTACGTTTTATTCACCTTTTCCATTTCAGCCTCTATCCTTTATAGTGTAAAAATGAGTCACTTGTTTAAATGCAACTCTTTACTTTGATTGCTTAGAGATAATCAGCCTCTCCACAGTGGCCAGCCCAGTATGGAAAACAGTGGTCCTTTTATCTGTACTTATATAGTACGAATTTCTCTTTAAAATGATGTCATAGAACATTGCTCCCAGCCACTCCTTGTCCGGCCACCTGGCGGGAGGCTTACAAGTTCACCATTAGAAGTTTATTCCTTTGGGTGAAGGCAGGGATCATCAACCTAGGCACTGATGCCACTTAGGACAGGTCACTGCCGTGGGGAGTGCTGTCCTGTGCACTAGAGGCTATTGAGCAGCACCCCTGGCCTCTACCTACTAGACGCCAATAGTACCTCCTGAGTTGTGACTATCAAAAGCCCCTCCAGATGTTCCCAAATATCTTCTGAGGGAAAAAGTCAGCTCAGTGGAGACCACTGGGCTAAGAATTGTCACCAATAATAATGGAAACGGTCTGGAGAGGGACGACCCTCATTAGTTACACATTCCTCGGTGTTTACCAGACCCTTTCCAAGGGCACCCATTGGCTACGAGCAGCACGGAGGAGAGGGGCAAACAGAGTATTTAGAAGAATTCATTCTCACTAACCCCCCTTTGGGAATCTCTGTGGACCTGTGGAAAGAAGTTTCACCCAGCAATCCCCTCCAAAGGATTCTTGGGAGAAGACCCTCCTCACCACCACGCACATTCTGAGGGCCCGTGGGGCACTTAGTCTGGGTCTGGTGTTGGCCAGTGGAAACCAGTAACACTTTAATGAAGCTGGTGAAGAGCACGAAAGGAAAGAAGCAGAGGTGACGCCCTGGTCACAAAGAGCTCATGGATTCCTCACTCCTGTGAGTCTCCCTTCATCCCCTTGGAGAAGGCTGAGTAGGCATAATAACCACTTATCGATAAGATTTGTAAATCATGGTCCAGCCGGGAAACAGGAAACACTAAGTCTTTCAAACAGAGGAAATTTAACACAGGGAATTGGTTGGTACATGGCTGATGGAGAAGTCAGCAGGAGACAAAGTGAGGCAACCCAGAAAACAGCAAAGCAGGAACCAGCTACCATCTCTAGGCCTGGAAAGGCAGCAGGGTAATGTCACATTATAGACCCAGAGGCTCCAGAGCTGTTTGCTGGCAACTAAATAGTGGGGGCTACCTGGGAGGACATGGGATTATGGAAAGAGAGAAGGAAGAAACACAACCAACTGCAGGTGATATTAGGAAGCAAAGTGGAAGGGGGGTGGGCACAGCAGAGGGGTGGTGGAGAAACAGCCTGGCTTCTTCCTTCTTTCCGCCCACCTACCCTCCACCTACCTGTCTTCCTATTGGCTGAACCTA